CACGTGCTGGCCTCCGTCACCGCGGCAGAGCCTCATGGGCACACCCGTGACAGCTCCCTACTGTGCCGGGCGCTCGGAGGGCCTGCAGTGGCTGAGTACGGCACACTCAGGAGGTCACAACACGACACGCGGGAAATGGCAGCACACCTGGCATGGGTGAGGGCCTCTGTGCCTGTGCCAGACATGTTACCATTTTCCTCCAGGGACTTTCTCCGCTTGATTCTCAAAACAAACGTAAGAGAACCAGCTTCAGAAATTCCTTAGGATACTGGGTTTTTTTCCTTCCTTCTTTTCTCTTTTTTGGCTAAGCAGTAACAACGTGCTCACGGTCGCAATCACAAGACGGAGCACGTGAGGACATCTAGCTGTGTCTTGGGTCCTGGCCCAGGACGCACCAGCTGACAGCTTGTCCTGGACTTGGGGGCTCGCTGGGAGGTGCAGCTCTGGGACCTCAGGCGAGTGGCCTGAGCTCAGCGTTTCAGTGTCCTTGTTTGAGAACGGATGGCGGCGCTACTACCTCCATGTCCACGGCATGTGAGTGCTAAGACGAAGTGACGTGGGGAAGCGTGTGGCACAAGGCCTGGAACGGAGAGCACGCAGTGAGCGCTGGTCTTCCACGTTACAATGAGGCTGCCTACGGAGGGCAGAGACCAGCTATCACAAGGTCTTCCTGAAAAGCACAGTGGCAGAGACCAGCTCAAATCATGGAGCACCTCCCCAGGTGATACTTACTAGGTCGGTGTCCTTTAGGACAGAAACTCGGCTGAACTGCGACAGTTTCACCACGCACATTCTGTCCCTAACCTTCATACATGACCGCAGGCAGCTCAGGACCAAGGAGTGATTGCCAAAGGTTTAAAAACCACCATGGTTGGAACAACCGCAGCTCTCGTTCACTGCTGGGAGCGGAGCCGGGGTACCGGCTCTGGAAACCCAGCGGGCCCGACGGACGCTCCCCCGGGCATGCCTGCGAGCTCCTGGAGGCACAGCCAACCTCGGTTCCTGTAGCTACGTGCACCGAAGACACGGCAGGGGCGCTGACGGCTCCCAGCGGAAAGAATGTACATTCCCGCCAGGAGGACGACTCAGCTGTGCGATACTCACAAGCGGGACCCACGGAGCCAGAAGAAAGACGAACGGTTATCTGACACCGTGGATGACCTCAGAGCAAATGCTCAACGACGTACGCCACGAAAAAGAGAGTGATGCCATTTACAGACAGCTCAAAAGCAGTCACCTGGAAGGGCAAACAGTCAGGGGAAGGGGCACCTGGTGGGCTTCCGGAGCGAGGGCAGGGCTGCTTCCGTGTCCTGCAGACGGCGTACGTGCATGGGCCCCACTTGTGACGGTCCAATGAGTGGTTTACTTCTCGGCTAACTTCTATGTTCACATCCTTGTAGGTCAATACAAAGTTTTAAAAAGTATGGTATAAACTTTAAATTGATAGTGCAATTGGTTCATTTCCCTCATTTGCCTACAAAGGGCTTAAGAAAGCACACGTTGACGTGACCTTCTTCCCTAGACCGAGGTGACAGGGACACCCCTTCCTTGGCTCCTGGGAAGCAGACGCTGCAAGAGGGCAAATACTGAAGCTGTTTGCTGTCACCTCCGTGGCACGGCACCTCCCAAAGAATTAACCGGATTAATCAGGGATTGAGTGATTTTTTCATTCAAAAACCACCTGGGGTGCTCTCACAACCTGTCAGTCCTCCAGGGCAAGCACGCCAGGGCACAGGGCAGGAGTCATTTTCCAGGGTGTTCCTATGGGGGCCACAGTCGGTCCCCGGCCACCTGCCCACTCACCTCTTCGTGCTTCTCTGTGGATTCCCATCTCTGAATGGGAGAGCGGGACGCGAAGGGGACAGAGGCTTGGGGTCTTGGAGACCACCCATGGAAGTCTGACCCAAGGGCTGTCTGACTCGCTGCACAAGGCTCAACCCGAGAGCCACGTCTTGCAACTCACACTGAGAGACAAACACGGCCCACAGACACGTGGGATCCCACGGTGATCTGAGTCCTTTCAAATTATTTCCTTTTAAATAGACATGGAGAATGGGATTCAGGAAACACTTTTTCACTGACCTGGGGTAAAGACTATCTGAAACTCATTTGTTAAGCAATCTTTGATATGGTAAAGATTTTGTAAAACTTAACAAAAGAATCTAACCACTATGACACGCTGTTACACGTAAATGTCCAAGCAAGCTATTAGAGTTACATTTTACAGGCCTCTTGGTAGCCATATTACACGTTTAAAATGCAGAGTCAGACTCCATTTCTGATGGAAACTGGAAAACACGTGGCCTGCACTAACTGTGTAGAAGAGCAGTCGTGCGTGTGTGCGAAATCGTTTACTGGATTCTAAAAATTCACCTTGGACAGTTTTTGGAACTACTTCACCCAAAGAAACAGTCCTTCAGTGAACACTGATGTGAGATCGCACCTACTAAGCCGTAACTCGAGCGGCTGTGGGACCCCACTGTGCGCAGGCCCCTGGCCTGCGGGTGCGCGTGGCACCGAGGCGAGTATGACGATCCCTGCCCTCAAGGAGCCTCAGTCTAGTAGGGCTGAGACATACTAGACTGTGAGCTCCTCGAGGGCAGGAAAGGTGCTGTAGTCCTCTTGCCCCAGAGATCGGGCCCCAGGCTCAGCTCTCGTGCTGCTCACACTGTGGAACGGGCTGAACGCGGGTGCGGCCATCTGGGGCAGCGCAGGGGGAGCACGACAAGAAGAGCCGAGTGCTCGGGAGACGCCGAGGGCAGAGGCTCATCGGCCGTGGAACCGCGAAGGAGCCAGTGCTGGGAGCCGCCGAGAAAGAGGGGCCGGATTTCACCAGGAGGAGAAGGCGGCGTTCCAGGCCCAGGTGGTTAATGCAGCCACGGCGTGAGAAAGGGGCAGGACACACCATCGGGCCGGAAGGGAGGACTCTAGTCTACTCTGGAAGCTTCCAGCCAACATGGGAGCCACTCGTCCCCAGCAATGGGTGAGAAGATCAAGTAAGGAGCTGTGCCAGATGGATGGACGGTCCAGGTGGGGGAGTGGGGGAGGCGTGCCAGGCGGCGGTGAGGCGTTACGGCTCGCTCCCAGACGGAGGTGGACGCAAAGGCCCCTCTGGAGCCTGTGGGAAGGGAAGGCCAGGGGCCGCCGGAGGCAAGGCAACAGACTGGCTTTAGCATGACCGCGACGCTCAGCAGCAACGCGACTGTGGCTCTGGGCCTTGTGAGAACAGGTGGGATGGAAGCTGAAGAAGGACAGAGGGGAGAGGGTCGCACCGCCCAGGAAGCAAACTGGGAGAGAGGAGGCGGCCCAGAACGGACGCGTGGGCCATACTCAGACCGTGGAGGAGCAGCAGGTCGGGGGAGAAAGGAGGTGTCCGGGAGGCAGGCAGATGGCACCGGTGTCAGAGAGGGGAGGCATCTCACGGGCAGAACCGGCCACATTCTGAGGAAAGATCAAGGAGGAACCAAGAAATATAGGAGCAAAACATGAACTAAAGCGCATTCAAAATCCCGCGCGTACCACTCGCTGTGCGGGGACGGAGCACCTGGAGACCCTTAGCTTGCAGAAAGTGGTCTAGAAACACCTGAAGGACGGTCACGTGGCAGGTAGAGCTGAGCTGTCTCCGGGGCCCGAGAGGACAGGAGGGGGCGGGCAGGCGCGCGGCCCAGGGAACAGGTGCCGCTCACCGTGGGGTGAGGGACGCGGGCCCGTCTCCTTCGGGCCACGAACACTGGCGGCAGGACTGTGTTTGTTCACTGTGGAGTCCACAGACCTAACTCAGAATCACACGGGTGCTTAGCTGGTAAGCCCTGACCGGGTGAAGCCTCTTGCTCTCCCTCCAGCCCTCATTCCTCTGCGGAAAGCGCTCCTTTGCCGGGTGCCCGGCCAGCAAGCGGTGTTGCCTGAGCAGCCGGGCCTGGGCCGTCTAGACCGGCCGCGAGCACTGGGGGACAAGACGGGGCCAGAGGAGCCACTGGGGTCTTTTGGACCCTGATATTGGGTAAATTTCTCTGAGAAAAGACGAAAAATTTAAAAATCTCACATAGAGTCAGGGAATCATGAAGATGACACAACGCACGCTACGCCACGGTGCTGGTTAAGGGATAAACTCCCCATGGTACGTATCGCGCCGGAATATCTTATCAATTTCAGTTATAAGTCAGTCTAGACGTCAACTCAACAACCGTTTGCTGAGCATGTGTTAGACGTCTGCGCCGGGGCTGCAGAAACGAGTAAGACACAGTGATGCTCACGGAGAGCTTAGGGCCTGGCGGGGGACCCAGACGTGCAAACGAGAAATTCTCCAGGCCGGGCACACGGTCAGCTCTATGCAGACACGCTGAGGGACTCAGTGCACTAACAGGTCCCTGCGGGCTCCCTGTAGGGGACCGGGAGCTACCGGGTCTGGCCGTGGCTGGCACAAAGTAGGAGCCACGACATGGCAGCTGAACAGGTCCTGTGGATGTCTGGACGACAACAGACAGAAGCACGGACAAGGTGCCAAAGACCGGCTGTCTGTTTGGGGGCAGGGCTGACTAGGGCTGTCCCCTGAAGGAGGTAACATCTGAGCTGGATTCTGAAGACCACAGAGGTGGTTAGCAGGGGGAACAGCATGTGGAAGGCGTCCCCGGGAGCGAAAACAGCATGTGGGAAATGCTGGGCTGTGCCGGGAGAAGCGTAAGCAGTCAGGAGCGCTGGCGACGGAGCTGGAAAGGGAGATGGAACTGGGTGGCCCACGAGGGACTAGGTTCTCACGCATCTCGTAAGCCACGCCAAGTCAGAAGTCAGCGCACGACAGATCTGATCCTAATGTGAAGTCGATTAAGATCTGACGATACAATGTCCTGAGCATCCTAGCAAGGCATAACTCAACGCAAACTGATCAGTAAGTCATTCCGTAGCCTTCGCCGTCCTGACAGAATGACCTCAAACACTCTGACTGCGTGGGAGAAGCCGCATGAGCCTGCCCCAGCCCCGGCCCTTGCTCCCCCCACTCCTACCTGAGCTGAGCTTTGAGCTCAGTGAACCGGGGCCGCCTGCTGGGGTCATAGGCCCAGCATTTCGTCATAAGGCTGTAGAGGGTCGGAGGACAGTTTGGAGGCATCGGCAGCCTCTCCCCGTTCTCAATCCGACCGATCACGTCATTGTTCTTCACTCCCTGAAAGGGTTTCACGCCGTGCATCAGTATCTCCCACACACACACACCTGTGAGGCGGGAAGGAAAGCAGAACCGTGAGCCCGGTGGGAAGAGAAGCACGCCTGTGTTTCAGGAAAAACACACAGCTGGCACTGGAGGACCAGCCGTGTGACTTGGGGCAAATCGGGCAAATAAAGCAGTAGTCAGTGAATTCTGTTATAAATAAGAACAGCAGTATTAGCTTAATATGATTCAAATAAGGAAAATTATGTTATTTTCCAAAAAACGCCCAAGTTTTTGTAAGAGGTTTACTTCTCCAAAAATCCTGTCTTAGAAGAGGGCCCGCCAGTGATCCTTCATGGCTTAACAAACCAGTTCAAAATAGGCTGGGTGAATTTGAACTTGGCCCCCCACTGCAGTCCAACCTGCTGATGCTTACGGCAGCTGGGCTGAGGCCTAACAAAAGAACATCCTAAAGTTTAAGCCTTTACCTTCAGAACGCTCAGACTCCTTTAGCGAGGCAGCCCGAGCCTGGCGAGGGTGCACGCTGGCACTGTCAGCTGGCTCATGCACGAGTTGGTAAGGGGGTCCCTGTCCCCCAGGCAAACTCCGGATTCCCTGGGCTGCAGTGGCCCTACCCGCACGCCCCTCACTCACACTCCATCCTCGCAGGCCGCACATTCTCTTCGTGTCCTCTGAACAACATCTGAAAGCCCCCTTCCACAGCAAATGAGCGAACGGAGCCTAAGGCGGAGAATGACGACCTCCCGCTCTGGCTGGGGAACCGAGCGTGTGCGCTGGCGGGGACCGTGGCTGGCTCGCATGTCTTGCGGGCTGCTCTGGCGGTCCTGGCACCCCAGCACATGCCACACACACGCCTTTGCTTATGCCAGCCTCGCCGCACTTAGTGCCCCTTTCCTTCTCCTCCGCATGAGTGCTTCTCTTTCTATGCATGTGCTCCTGATGGCCCAGGTGAGTCCCTGCTCGGCCTGTCCTCCCTGCACACAGCGTCATAGGGCGAGCCCCTGTTCCGCCCCCGTCCTCCCTGCACAGGGCCTCACCGGGCGAGCTCTGGCTCCACCCCGTCCTCCCTGCTTACCGCATCATGGGCTGGGGGAGGCCCCTTGCTTCAGTGTCTTTGGCACCTACGGCAGGGCTGTGCCTCAAAGGAAACAAGGCACATTATCCTGCCCACGTGAACGACATTCTGATGTTTTCCGAATTCTAGTCACTCCAGACCGAAGAGTGTATGACAAAACTAATGCCTTAGTTCTGCATTTCTCACCGGAAATTGTGACGTCATTACTAACAGCAGCGCCGGGCAGCATAAGACTTTAGTAAGACTTTAGCGCCGGGCAGTGTAAGACTTTCGAAATTTACACATTATCCTTACACCTCACGTTTCCTTAAATACTGTATTCTATCAAACCTAAGATGCCACTGATTATAAAATACGATATTGTTTTTATATAACTAAAAATGGAGGACAATACTGCCAACTAAGTCACGGCACCATCCTCTGTTACCTCTTAGAATTGTTTTATTCTTACCAATGAGCACTTCCAAACTCATTCAGACAAGGAAGAGACATAGGGATGAACGAAACAAAGTCCACACGAGTGTGGGCAAGGAAGCCACGTGAGACACGGCCCCAACTCACACCGACTACAAAATGCCACTGATTGATGACACCAGTTCCAGAGAAGTGACAGTGTGAGAAACGGGCATCTTAGAATCTTTGAAAGCTGAAGTCCCCTTGCCAAGATGAGCAAGCGGCTCTCTGGGTCACACAGCCGACGAGTGAGGTCCTGGGAGGTGACACCACAGCAGGCGGACCCCAGAGCCCTAAGCCCTGTCACACTATTTGCTGCTCTGGCAAAAGCCCCTTCCCTCTCCTGTTATCACTCAGGGCACTAGAGGAGATCAACAGCAAGTACACAGAAGAAAAAAGAAGAACATGTACTTGATGTGTATAAAGTTATTTTTAATTACGGGGGAAAGGCACATAGCCTTGTCCACGCATCTCCTCCGGAGTAGTTCAGAATCTAGGGAGAAAGCACGCACACAGGACCGCGCACAAGATCCACGTGTGAGTGTTAGGGCAGAGAGCAGAAGTGCAGGGAACACAGAGGACGGGAGGTTATGTCTGGAGCACACATCGGCTACACGAGGCTTCACGAAGAGGGGACATTTCAGGTGACCCCGAACATCAGAATTTCAGCCCCGGGAGAGGGTGTTATGACAACATGTTCCAGGTGGAAGGAGTTAGACCAGAAGAGTGGGGTGGGCGGGGCGGGGGGCAGCATCTGTGTGGAAAGGGGAGAGAGATTTAAAACCTGACGAAGCAGTTGAAGCAAGTGGTGCAGAATGAGCGAGGGCCACCCCGTCCCACAGTGAGAAGGTTCCATAGCAACCCCCAGAGCAGGACAGCGACCGGCTCGGAGCAGGCGGAGAGGCACGGAGCAGGCGCTAGAGCAGAAGCCACAGGAGACAAAGGATCAAACGTTCAAGCCTTGAGACAAGTCGGGAAGGAGGCTGGGCTCCAGCGCACAAGCAAAGCCCCACGCGGATGTTCCGGAGCCGAGGGGCTGGCACAGAACCCGAGGACAGGACGACCATTTAAAGTCACTCACAGAAAAGGAGCAGATGGGATGGCGGGGAGACAGAGAGGAGAAAAGGAAGGAGAGAGCTACGACTGCTCCCAGGAGGGACGCAGAGAGGGCCCAGGGAGACAGAGGCCTGGGGCGGGGGGGAGGGGGAATTCCAACAGAATCCGGCGCCCCGCGTGGCCCAGCAGCTGCTGAATGAACCAAGAGGACGTCTGTGGAGCAGCGCTCAGGCAAGGGAAGGCAGAGGAGCCTAAATACTGCAGAAAGAGCTAAGCCTAAGTCCGTTTTGTAGTCTATGAAATGTTCATTTAAAAACTCAAAACTTCGGGGTGCCTGGGTGGCTCTGTGGGTTAAAGCCTCTGCCTTCGGCTCAGGTCATGGTCCCAGGGTCCTGGGATCGAGCCCCGCATCGGGCTCTCTGCTCGACAGGGAACCTGCTTCCTCCTCTCTCTGTCTGCCTATCTCCTCTGCCTACTTGTGATCTCTGTCTGTCAAATAAATAAAAATCTTAAAAAAATAAATAAATAAATAAATAAAATAAAAAAGATAAAAACGCAAAACTCCAAAATACTCACCAAACATCCACACATCACTAGCTGAGGTAAAACGTCGAAAATTGATGGACTCTGGAGCCATCCACTTAATTGGCAATTTTCCTTTGGAAGCTAGAAGATTAATTTTAGAAAGTGAATTTTCCTTGTTTCTGCTCAAGGATCTAACAGTTACAGCTCGCTGAGATTTTCAGTATCAAAATACAAAGCTTTAAATAGTTGACCCCTTGGGCTTTGCTAATCTGGAAGAACTATCCTTTGTTTCCTCAGCGTGGTGAGGTCATCTGCAGCGATCCGGTCAGCCTGTGGCGCGGAAACAGCGCTGCAGGCCTCTGCTGTGCGGACAGGCGGGGGACGCGGGAGGAAGAGGGGGCCCGGCTGGCTGGTGCTCCCGGCCTGCAGCTCGGCTGTGCAGCAGATCCGGACCCACTGGCCGGACGCTGTTCTGGGGGGGAGCGTGTACATGCGCGTACACACGCCACACAGATTAGCTTCAAACCCTGTAAACAACTCAGCCTGCTGGTTCTCCTTCCTTCAGAAAACGAGGCTCAGACACGTTTCGTGACTTGCCCGAGGCCACCGCCACCAGGTGCCTGAGCTGGGGTTTGAGCCAGAGCGGCTGTTGCTGTCCTGCCCCGCCGCCCCCTGCCCCGTCCCCATCCTCCCACAGAGACAGGCCCAGTCCTCCCTTGCCTCGCACCCACACGTGACCCCGAAAGCACTGGGCAGGACTTCAGGAGCTGCCCATCTCTGTGTGTATGGAATACGGAATGAGGATGGACCACGGCGCCTGCACAGGTACGTGCAGGGCAGGACAGCTGACGGACGGAATGAAAAAGTACACTTCTTAGGTGAGCCTACATCATCCGTCCCTGGAGGCCTCATAAGCCTTCCTTCTGTGCCACAAAGGAAACAACTCGCCACCTCACGGAACATTCCTTCAGCTGCTGGGTGACAAGAGGAATGGCCCAGAGTACCTGCCCTCATGCAATTCTAGCTCTAAAAGGTACGGTGTGGGGTGTGACCCGTACTCCGAGTGAACGCCAGATGCCTCAGGAGCAGAGAAGGCCCACGGCTGAGCGGTGTGTCCGGGAAGGCAGCAGGGGCGCAGGGGAGCGGGAGTCCACGTGGGAGGGAGCCTAGGTTCACAGAGGTGTCTGTGCTCTGCCGGCCTCATTCGGACTCCTCCTGTGAGCCACGCGTGCCTCTGAGTCCCTTCAAGCAGGAGATAATTTCATCCGAGTCACTTCTTTTTTCCCACTTAACCTCAAGCACCTTCACAACAAGTGGAGTCAAATCTTCGGCTCGATTCCTTCTAAACTACTTACTCCTGCATCCTGAACCCCCAAGATCCCCAGCTTCTAGGGGGTGTCCTCCTGCAGCCCAATGGGGTCTGGACTTAGGCACCTGTCCGAGAGGATGAGGAATACATGAACGTGTCAACGGCTCACTTTAAACGCCGTGTGCATGACACGAAGGCTCCGTCGCCGCACTGCTTGGAGGTCAGCTCCTTACTGGGAGTCCGGGACCTGGACTGCTCAGGGCTTGACCTGGACAGCAAATGTATTTTAAAACAGCAGAGAGCTGCTTGATCATCTTTACATTAAATGACTAATTGAAATGAATGAACATCCCAAGAATTCTCTTCTCACACGGCAGCAAATCTCGGTTGAGACCGCTTTGGGCTGTGGCGTACGGAAGGCACATGGAAAGGGAACAGTCATCAGCCCTACAGTAAGATGAGGGAAACTAGTTTTGTATGTAAAAATCTCATTTTGCCACAATACAAGAATTTTAAAAAGTGAGAAAGAAACTGGCCTTTTAAAGTGGTAGTAAGAATTAGAATATATACTAAGAGCATAATATGGATTTATAATCCAAACCACAGCTGAAATATCAGGAATAGAAACATTTGTTAATAAAAATATTTGTTGTATAACAATTTAAAGAACCAAGTCAGACTGATTCCAAAATTGGCACATTTGAAGAAGAATCACATGAGCTAGATTTCCACTCTGAAGCCAGCTGACGGAAGTCTCTGGGTGAGCTGACTGGAGTCCTCGGCCCGACTGCTTCCACCGGGTCAAGGCACCTGCCCCACTTGTGGAGGTGTCTGACTGCGTTCGCCAGCTGGGGACGTCTGGGCTGATTCTAGGTTTTGGCCACTGGAAATACAGTTGTAGTGAACACTGAAATGCAGGTTTCGTGTGCACGGCAGTTCTCGCTTCAGGAGTGTGCCCGCTGGACTGTCCGGCAGCTGCACAGCTGACTCAGCAGGGATCTGGGAAGCTCTTCCCGAGCGGCTCTGTCATTTTACATTCTCACAAGCAATCTGGGAGTGATCCAGTTTCTCTGCATCTTTGCCAGCATTTGGTGTTATCACTATTTTTAATTTTAGCCGTTCTGACATGTGGGCAATGATACCTTGTCACGGTCTGAGCCTCTGTCCGGGCTTCTCTGCCCTCCACATACCCTCTTCAGTGAAGCCTCTCTTTCCACCGTTTGCCCATGTCATATTCTTGTTTTCCCTGATGAATTCTGAGAGCTCATTCTACCCTGTGGACACCAGTCCTTTGTGGAATCGCTCATGGTTACGGGCGGGCCCTGCGCCTGGCAGAGATCCTCCAGGTCTGCACCTTCCCTTTCCACCCCCGAACAGGTGTTTTGCAGAACTGAGAGTTTCAATTTCGATGAAATCCCATCGACCGAGTGTCTCCTTTTATGGATCATGTTTTCGGTGTCAGGTCTAAGGACCCTTTGTCTAGCCCTAGACCCCAACGATTGACTCGTTATGTCCTTCCTAAAAGTTTTACAGCTTTAAGCCTAAGATCCCCTGACCCACGGGGTGAGTCAAGCTGAGGTCCCTTCTTTGTCTCTGGATGTCTGACTGCTCTGGCCCCATGGATTGAAAGGCTGTCTTTCTTCTACTGAACTTATTTTATGCCTCTGCCGAAAATCAGCTGAGTTTACTAAAGACACACTTTTTTAGGAAATAAAAATCCTTAAAGATTCTGCGCTTACTGCCTCTTTATTGCTCTGACTCCTTACCTTTATAGTAAGTACTGTCTTCCATGTATCGGGATAATCCAAAGTCTCCTAGTTTTACACAATCATTTGAGGACACCAGAACGTTCCGAGCAGCAATGTCCCTGATAAGAAAGAATTTGGGACAATAAATTTTAATACAAGGAGAAACAAACCCACAAACTCATCTATATTATATAAAGACACACTGATAGGCACTTTGAAAGACAGCTTATAGACAATGCAAACAGATTTATTATGCACTGAAAAAAGGACACTTTTATGATTTTACTTCAAGTATATTCCTTCTGCCAGATATTTACTCATTAATATGATGATTAGTGTTTTGATCGGCAGCAAAATATATTCTCAAATAACAAATATTTGAGAATAATGCATAAAAAAAGCATTCTGACTTTTCCTACAATCGTATTAGCACCTGCATCAACAGAGAGGCTGCACGACTGAGCTCGTAACCCTGCCGCTACAAAGAGATCTCATCACTGGAAGTAAAAGCCGTCATCCAAACCCTTGTCCATGATTCGGCTGATGGAATTTATTTTCATGCTGGGTAACAAAGTAGTGGGCAAACCGGAAGGGCTTTCCCTTGTATTCCAACTAGGGCCTCGGATGAGAAACAGAAATGCCATAGCACCCCCCAGACGTCACGCATGACCCTCTGGGTTCCGGGAGCCCGGGGCCAGTGTCTGTTTTAGGTCCACGTGCTCACAACTCTGGGGCCACGTACAGGCTTTCAGTAGCATCTGCGGAGGAGAGAACTGGCCCGAAGGCAACGTTCACACTTAATGGGAGGAAAACCTTCTAAACGTGCATACAAACGGGCCTTGGGTCTTGCCTGGACCAGGACAGGTGCCGCCTGCCTTCCCGATACTGTCTACGCACCGCAGAGTCCAGGGGTAGAAAGGCTCACAGGGCACACCGAGCGTCTCCTCCTTCCGGTTTCCCCACTACACCCCTCCCCCGCCCGGAGGGCAGCTTGCCAGCTTTATGACTGGATCTTACCTGTGCACAAATCTTTTGCTCTCCAGATACGCAAGAGCTGTACTAAGCTGATAGGCATAAAGGATCAGAGACGCCAGATCCAAACTGTACTTCCTTACTTGCAGAAATGACCTCAGCTTTGGAACAGCGAACAAGATAAAAAAAAATGAGTGACAGAGAACAGACATCAACAGCCAAGGAGCTATATTCAACAGTACTGCCCATTTCCAAACACACTTTTATGAGAATGGCTTCAATTCTCCCCTAAGATGAAGGGGCAGAATGAAACATATTAGCTCAGAAATGATGGTTATTTGAATCCTATTCAAAAACTGAACTCTTCATGACTGTGGACAAATTTCTGAAAAAATACAGGAAGTTGCTGCAAGGAAATGAAGAGAGTGTGAACTACTGCTAGCAAAGAGCTGGGAGGACCAAGGACCGAGTTGGCCCGCATGTACCAGCACGCCCACACCCCAGGCAGACCTGAGGATAAGGTGATGAGGAAGGGGAGGCAAGAAGTTCTCCCGGCCTCCTCCAGCAAGTTTCAGGTACAGAAAGGTGTTGGGTATTTACCCCACGGGGCCTGTAAGTCCTTATTACCACTGTCATGACCAATTCAGCTAAATGCCAGCATGGCAAAGGAAGGCGGCTGAACTGAACTCTAATTCTACAAAATCAGTACACAAAGGAGAAATACTTAGTAACAGTTTAAGCCAGAAAAATCAGCAAATTCCCCAAAGGCAAAAGCGGAAAAATACTGTGAATGAAAGATATATGTAAGCTCTCTGTTTTATTCGGAAAGGCAGGGCGGAGGAAGAAATGCTGCTGTAGAAGCCTGAAGTCATCTCGCCCAGCAAACGAGGTTATCGAGTGCGGAGCAGAGCAGCGGGGGGCCCGGAGGAAAGGAGGCACATGGGCCCAAACTGCCCTTTGACACCCGCTCACCAGAACCCCTATCTCCACGGAAAGCCAAACTGTGCTTGGTGTCCTTTAGAAGTGAAGGAATGTAGGTAACGTTTCAGGCTAAATTACTGAGCTTTAGTACCAGAAGGTGAAGTGTGGACACCTGGAGAACGGACTTGTGTCCATCTGCAAGCAGGCGGGCTACGGCGTGGCCCGGAGAACAGGTGCCCAAGAACAGACTGCCTGCCCTGCGGAGGGCCTGATCCGCCAGGCCTGGGCGGGGGCCCAAGAATCTGGCTTTTAATAAGTTTCCAGGTGACGGTGACACAGTAAGCAAGAATTTCTGTGTTCCAGGGAAGTCAAGTAAGGAGATCTGTCCACATATGTTACTCACATTTTCAAAAGAAACTGTGACTAATATGGGTTGGTGTGAAAGATGCCATAAAACGAATTCTGAAACGGTAAGGAAGTGCAGGTTTACCGAGATGCAGCATTCATTTGCCTGCATTCGTTAAGAGCACCCCTTTTATCCTCAGACCCCGGGGCTAGCATCAGGCGGCAGCACCAGAGAGGAAGACAGATCCACGGGGTCACCACTGCCTCCAGCACTGAGTCAGGGCATGACTTGGGAACTTAACGATGACGACGCTATAGTCTCTGAGCCCGAACCACAAGGGTGTCCTTCACATACCCCAACCCCTTACACAAAGGACACCAAACACTGGAGGCGGCTGAACGAACGCCAAGCACGGGACTGTCATTCATTCCACTGTCGCTGTGACAAAGGGGCTGGCAGTGCCGGGACAGCCAGGTGTGGGTCAGGTACCTCTCCGAGTGTGCACAGCTCCATGATTATCCAGACGGGGTTCTCCGTGATGACGCCGATCAGCTTCACAATGTGAGGGTGGTCAAACTGGCGCATCGTCACTAGGGAGAAACAGTTGTCCAGGTTATTCTCTGACACAGCAGTAAGTAAGGGTGGCCACGGTCGTCTGTGCTCTCGTGGCCGAGGCGCTCTCTGGAAACGAACTAGTTAAGACAGAAGTCATTGCCAGGGTCTGTTTTGTCCTGGCAGAGATCTAGAACGGGATTAAAGACAGACTTGTTTTTGTTTTTGTTTTGATTTGTTTTGTTTTGACAGAAGTACAATACGATTTTGATGAAAATGATAATATACTAATAGTCAGTTTGACTTACTCTATGACTTATTAATTTACTGGACGGTTGGGTGGTAAATATTTCCTGAAATGGTCGGTAGAAGGCATTTGTTCCATGTCCATGTAATGAGGGACCCTGGGACTCAATCACACGACCAGTGTCTACTGGGCACCTGATGGGTTCAGTCTTGTGCTGCGCACGGGACTGGGCGGTGAGCACAGCAGACACGGTCCTAGCCCCGTGGAGCCTGAAGCTGAGAGAGGGCAATACTAATTTCTAGGCAATGTTATTTAGTTTCAAATACTTAGGAAGGAGAGAATGTGGTCCTGTGACAAAACCTCCTGAGGAGAAACTACTCTAAATACGTGGTCAGATGAGACGGGACAAGTGCTATGAAAGCAGGGAGGGCGCCCCAGCCTGAGGGCAGGTGAAAAGGACAGGACAAGGTCCTGGCAGAGAATGGCTACCCACACAGACCCTCCCCACAGCCTCATCCCGGACGCGTGAGTGGGGAGCCGCAGGGGCGGCTGTGAGGCAGGGTGAGGGCATGGGGCGTGGTCCCGGCTCTCTCCCTGGTCTGTGAGCTCCCTCAGGCGGGGACCGTGTCTGTCCTGCTCATCCCGAACTCTAGGGCCAGGGGGCCGGCGGGTAAGACTCATTTCTATGTCTGCCTAGTCCCAGGGCCACCTTATGCTCCACCACACGGGTCCCAAAGGATACGGGGACAGTGATCTGTGTCCTCACACCCCGAACACCACGGCTTACCTGGAGCGACGTGTGGACACGCGCCTCTACAGATACGGGTATTAATTTGCAAGGTGAGACAGTAATGCGGTCACCACAGACAAGTCAGAGTGTTATTGTCCTTACTTCCGCAGAGACCACTTGCATTTCACAGGTAAGAAGTCACAGGGAGTTCCACAGAAATTTATAGAAACTTACAGGCTTCTTGAAGGAATTTCTCTCTCACGCTGTCCGAAGTACAGTTTTTACATGTTTTAATTGCAACCGCCAGCGCTGGGTTCTCCTGTGTTGGGGAAATTTCAGAATCACACACACATGCAAAAAGAGCTTCTTCTTCTTCTTTTTTTTTTTTTTAAAGATTTTATTTATTTATCTGACAGAGATCACAAGTAGGCCGAGAGGCAGGCAGAGAGAGAGGGGGAAGCAGGCTCCCCGCTGAGCAGAGAGCCCGATGCGGGGCTCGATCCCAGGACCCTGGGATCATGACCTGAGCCGAAGGCAGAGGCTTAACCCCTTGAGCCACCCAGGCGCCCCGCAAAAAGAGCTTCTTTTTACGCATCAATGGGCACGTTCACAAAAAGCTGCGTGACTGGCAACTACGTGGATTCCGGACCAGACAGAATCAGAACTGAAAATCTCAAGAGGAACACTTCAAATACTCTACAAAGTCCCCAGAAAAAACGTCCAGGCAACGTTAACATGTTGTAGGTCGTTTGTTCCTTCACTGTACATATTCACGTCCTGCTACCGGCCAGGCCGCCTCGCAGGCGCTCAGGGTGCACACTGAACAACAGGCAGCCAAGTTCCCTGTTCTGCCCCAGGTCGCCTTCCCGCTAGGAAGGGACAACACACACAAGAAACCAGGCGATCACAGGGTACATTAGTGGGTAACGGCGCTGTGGACAAGGAAGGAGCATGTCCGGATGTGCGAAGCAGAGACCAGGACAACAAAAAACCAAAGGAGGGCGGGAGGGATTGCCGAGAGCTGGCCAGGGGCACAGCCGGGGTCACGGATGCTCTGGGACCTGAGGGCAGGCGTGGTGAGAGGCTGGCGGCTGGGACTTGTTTGCGGCAGTGCAGGAGGGACAGGGTGGGCGTTGCGCTGGCAATGAGACGTCAGGTTCAGTTTTCTGGTGAGACAAAGGGAAGCAGCAGCTCAGCTCGGACTTAGGCCTGGAGGCGCATGAGAGGCAGCGAAGCCACACAGGAGAGCCACACAGGAGAGCGGGAGGAGAATGGGGTGGAGTTCAGGGTCAGATTCAGGCTGGAGGAGCTGCTGGGGCGGACGGAGCACTCACCCGGGCGCCCTGCAGCGCGGAGCTCAGGGAGAAGGGGAGACGCGCAGTGACTAAGAGCGTGACTGGCAACGGGGAGGGAAACCAAGAAGGCGCGTGGACCCGCCTACAGAAGAAGGTGATGTTTTCTTGAACGAGTTCAAAAGATAGAGCTTAAGACAGATAGGAAATGAGGTCATTCCTGACCTCGATGGAGTAACACCGCGCGTGGGTCTCATTATCAACGCCAGGACGCTCAGCTCCGCCCGCCCCCACCTGGTCTCTGCCGGGACCACGGACTCCTCCTGCGGGAGACTGTCGGGCCTCACGTCCCATTAAGGAGGCAGAAAGGACAAGGAGGACAGGATGGGGGAGAGAGAAGCAGGAGGACGCAGTGAACGGAAAAAGGTCCAAGAAGCGCCGCCTCAGGTCTCCTCACCGTGGCTGCTGGGTCCTGACTCCCTCCCTCCCCGGAGGACCCCAAGAGAGGAGGTCAGGCCAAGGCACCATCACGGGGGTGTGAGGAGTGAGCTTCCAGCCACGAGGCCCCAGAGGACTGTACGATCTCGCCATCTTTATTCTCCACAGGTTTTGGACATTTCTGTCCTTTTTGTAAAGTATCTCACTGGGCCTACAGGTTGTGAGACGGCCGGACGAGTTCCAGGCCGGTCCGGGATCCCCATTTCATAGACAGGCCAGCAGAGGCTGACGGATCTAGCGGCTTGCCCAAGGTCGCCCTGCTGGTAAGTGGCATGTCCCCTCTGTGACAGGGACTGGGGCAGCGTGTACGTGTGACAGGCAGCAGGGAGCGGCAGCAGCTCGGGATGGAGCTGCTGCTTATCACACGATGTGGCCTTGAAATGGTTCCCACCCCAGATTCCCGAGCCCAGATGAAGCCTGAATTTGCCAAGCTCTCTCTGAAGAGTCCTTGCTACGGTCGTGAGTCACCGTCCATGTAAACAGCAGCCTCAGCAGGAACGACTGGCCTGCGAGGACAGTGGGGAGACAAGACACTGCTTCCTGCCTCCTCAGGGCAGGAACGTCCCAGGGCTCAATCCCAGGGCCAGCCCGACGTGTGGCCATCTCACTGAGCGCCAAGTCCTACATCTGCACTGACTTCCAAATTCTCTCTCCAGCCCTCCCTTTGTCTTTCGGCCCAGACTCTGACATCCACCCCACCCCATGCCCTATCTTGACGAGGACACAGCAAAGTTACTTTAAAGTTGATACGACCAAAACAAAACTCCAGATATCCCACTGTGATGGTTCTTTTTATGTGTCAAGTTGACTGGGCCACAGGGTGCCCAGGTAATTTGGTCAAGCATATTCTGAGTGTTTCTGGATGGATTTAACAATAGGTTGAGTGAAGCAAGTTGCCCTCCCTAATGTGGTGGGCCGCATCTGATCAGCTGAAGGCCTGACTAGAACAAAGAGCTGATCTTCTCTTCTAAATAAGAGGGAATTTCTTCTGCCCAATTACCTTTGAGCTGGGACACTGTTTTTTTCCCCCACTCTTTGGACTATACCTCTACTGGCTATGCTGGGTCCTAGGTCTTCAGGCACAGACTGGAAGCAAGAAGCCATCAGCTCTCCTGGGCCTCCAGCTGCAGATCTGATGACATCAACTTCCAGGACCACATGAGCCAACTCCTAACAAGCCTGTTTTGAAGGCACCCACAGCCTTCTGTTTCCAGGGGAGCCCTCACTAATACACCCACTACCAGACGCGTTTCCTCTCCTTAGCCGTTTCCACCTCACTCGGGACATGGAAGTCACGCAGATGCTCAAGGTCAACAACCTACCAGTCAGTTTTGACTCCTCAGTTTCCCTCGGCTCCCATGATCCAACAATCCAGGAGCAGGACCCAAGTTTCCTGCCTACAGCGTGCATCTGACAGCCACTTGCCCAGCCCCCGCCACTGCTGTGGGCTCTCTCTGCACCCACTCTCCCTGAGGCACCTCCTGTCCCCAGGACACTTGGGAGAAAAAGCCCAGCCCCCTGTTGTGGCATCCCAGAGCCCCTCTTCACCCAAACCTCGTACACCTAGCCTCATTTTCTACGCTCCAGTATCATTTCCCGTGGCTGCCCTCCTTGTTCTGCCTGACTGGAAAGCTCCTGCCCCAGAAATCTGCACCGAGATTCATGCTCAAACCATCCTGTCTAAAACAGCGCCCAGCTGCCTGCCATGTTCTCCCTGCTGCTCTGTGCGACCCTCACAAGCTCCGAGCACAGAACTGTCTGGGACAGGCCTCTCAGGTTATCACAATGTCCTTATTCTACACATTTTTATCATACATTTATCATACATTACAACATACATGATGCTGCCATTTACATCATTACTATTTTCCATCGCTGAGATGTAAGTTTCAAGACAATAGGTACCTTGTTGTCTCGTCTGCCAAAAAGGTCCCCTTACAACAGTACTCAATTCATAGCAGCTGCTCAGTAACTACTGAGTTAAGGAATGCTGTTAAAACCTTTCTTTTGAATGCAGATGCCATTCACAAGTCAGCGGCAGCGCACCTTAAAAATAGCTTAAATTGTATTCACTTTAGATTTCACACTAATTGCACATCATACGATTCCAGAATATTAAACACTTTCAAATGAGAAAAATATAAACAGTCAAATAACTACAACAGACGTGGGTCCCTCTCTTAGCCTGCAGCGTGCAGGACTCCAGGTGGTGATGGTGGCCTGTGCCCAGCAGGACAGTCGCTGCTAGCACAGAACGGGAACAGGAGCTCGAGATCTGTCGGTTCAATGTCTGAGTGTAGAGCCTTCCTACAGGTGCCAGCCACACAGCAAGGCTGACACGGAACCACTTTGCTTTGAACGAGTTAGTAACTGTTTTCCTCAACTAGATGGTGAGCGTCTTTAGGACCAGGACCACGAATTCTATCTCCATCTCAAAATACAGGGCCAGCTGGTATACTCCAGAAATGACACAAAATGTCCTTTTTAACAGGAATTCTGTATAACAACAATAGAAGGTTCTTAAGACCACAAAACCGTCATCTATTCTGTGAATTCGTACTCAAATATCGAACACAGTGTTTCACACAAGACAGCCTGAAGATATGCAGAGAAGTACTGCTCTCCAAGGACCCGCAGTTGCAAATGGACACTAGACCCAAGACTCCGTGGGCAGCACAGGGATGAAAGGCCACGGCGGACAGAGCCAGGGTCTGGTCATCTGTCCGTGGTGCAGCATTTGTGGCTGGACAGCAGGAGCCCGGGGGATGCTGAGCTGCCAGAGGGGCTGGTCACAGAGTACGGAATGTTGGAGAACTCAGTTCAAAGTGAGCAAGACCAGACCAGAACCTGAGCAAAGCTGGTTTTTTGTTTTTCGTTTTTTCCTAAAAACACCTTAAAAAGAGGCAGATTCAAACATACCTGGGAATTGCTCAAGGTACAACTTTTAAAAACATTTATAATGCAAGCAGTACTTAGGGGACAGAGAAGTCTTCTCAATGGTTCAAAGCAAATGCCACACTGGCATCCACTATGCCTCCATAAAAGACACGACCAGCTTCTGAATTACTAACAACTAGCAGGCACTGAAAAGACTTTAACAAATAAATCCAGAGAAGGGTTACTCTAGGACTAATTAAGAGAAAAAGAGATTTAAAAGCAAGTTCTTAAGGCTAAGATCATAATGATGACAGAACTTGCAAGTGACCAGCAGAGGCTCAGATGGTGACAAAGACGCCCGACTGCCTTGCCAGATGCGGCAATGGCGTGTGCGAGCCTCTAGAGGACGCTGTGTCCACGGGATCCTTGAATGAACTGCAGCCCATGCGTGGCCCACCTGACCCCACTCCTCACCTTCCGTGGCCCCCACCCCCCACCCCCCGCGGCGGCCACACTGGCCTCCCGCGGACGGCTCCCTTCCTGCTTCAGGGCTCTGCTCCGTGTCACCTATCAGAAGGCCTTCTCTGACCATCTCGCGGGGAGAGCACCCCGACCTCCTCTTCTTCCCTACTCGATATTTAGTGTATTTGTTTTTGACTGTTCCTTTCTGTCTCAGAGAGAAGTTAAGTTCCGTGGGGGCAGAAATTGTGCCTGTTTTGTTCATTCTTATGTCCCCACCACTTTGCTGTAACCTGCTGGGAGACTGAGAAATTGTTGTTGAAATCATGACTTGAGGGTCCAGTGGCAGGTTCCTGGCCGTGATGTGTGCGGAGCTGCAGATGACTGATGACTAAAAATCCTCCAAGAACCGTTCCGTGATCTGACAGAACAGTGAAGGACGTAATCCGGAAAAGGGACTTAACAGGCGCCCCAAGGAAGGAACAGATTCCTTTGCACGGTAAAATCAGACACCGACACGAAGAACAAAATAAACACTCATTCGTGGACAGCATACGTCAGGGAGATACTCACAAAAAAGTGTGAACCCTCATATTTTTCTGGGGCTGGGGCTCATTCAACAAATATTTAATGAACTACACAATGGGTATTTAAAAAATGTCCTCTTGTATTTTCACAACTAAAATGGATTATTTTAAAGATGCATGAAGTAATGCCCAATAACCCTGCCTTTATCTGTGTGGTCCTGGTGAGTCACTGAATTCTAGAGACCAAGGGGAGCTCTGAGGCCACCATGTGCAGCTGCCCGAATTCCGAGTCAAGAAGCCACAGTCTCCAGCCTCTCAGCGGGGTGCGGCCAAGTCGCAAATTTAGCACGTCTTCGAGTAACTTTAGATGCAGGGCTTTTTCTACTGTGTTTTGCCCCAAAGAACAGAGTTAAGAGAATTAGGAAGATAACACAGAGTAAAAAAAAAAAAATAAAAAAAATAATAATAATAATAATTAAAGAAGAGTTAACAGCTAGAAATACATAAGAACTGACAGAACTGTATATTAAGTACAAAGAAAAAGGCTTTCGAAACTGAAGTTTTAAAAAAATGGAAACTCTAATTTGTTTAGTGACACGGTGACAATTGTCTGTTGTTCCTGACAGAAACAAAAACCAAAGAAAGCCCTTTTAGCTCTTTGGTTACAAAAGTAATGATCACGGTGTCACTTGTGCACGTGTAGAGGATATGAAAAAGTGAAAGATACAGAATTACTGGGGAAACTGCCAAAGCAGGGGCCACACCAAAGGTCAATCCTATGTGTTACGACAGACCTTCCTTGACTCGAGATGGAGTTCATGTCCGGATAAACCCACCGCACGTTGAAAACATCCCAAGCTGAAAGTGCGTGCAATGCATCTGGACTCCCTAACATTATAGCTGAGCCGTGCCCACCTTCCAGGCGCCCGCAAGCGCTCGCCTGGGCCCGCAGCTGGGCAGAGTCATTTCACACGAAGCGTATTTTACAATGAAGTGTTGACAGCCTGTGCGGTTTACTGAACCCTCCACTGGAGGGACAAACAGAAGGGCTGTGTGGGCACAGAATGGTTGTCAGTCTCTCGGTGATGGGCCCTCATGCTGGCGGCCACCACCCTGCATGAGGACAGGGGCTGTGTATACCCCTAGCCTGCGACAGGATCCAAGTTCAAAATTCCAAGTATGGTTTCTACTGCATGCAGGTCACTTCTGCACCAACATAAAGTCGAAAAACTATGCTGAACCACCCTTAAGCGCAACCAACGTAAGTTGGGGAGAGTCTGTATGCCCTTATCAGCACCATCTGTGTACACCTGTTAGTTAAAAAAGTTTCTTGACCAAGTAAGTACTATTATTTTATCTTCTTTTTTTTTTTTAAAGTAGGCTCCATGTAGGTGTGGAGCCCAATACTGGGCTGGAACTCACAGCCCTGAGATCAAGACTTGAGCCGAAACCAAGGTGGACATTTAACCAACTAAGCCACCCAGGCACCCTGTACTATTATTTTAAAATGCTGTTTTAAAATTGTTGATGTAACAAAAACACGATAACCAGTGTTGGCAGGGATACAGAGAAAGGGGTGTTCTTACACGCTGTTGTTCGGAATGGAAATGCACAGCTTCTTTGGAGACAGTTCAGCAGTAAGTCAAAGGGTGGAACAGTTACCACGTGACCCAGCAACTCCACGCCCAGAGCTCTCACGAGAGCTGAAAACTCCTCACACACGTACAGGTCCTGTACAGGAGTGCTCAGAGAGCCCTGATTCCTAGCAGCCAAGACATGGTCACAACCCAAATGACCATTGACAGACAAACGGACAAAAAGTGGTTCTACCCATCCAATTGAATGTTATCCAGCATTGAAAAGAAATGAAGTCCCGATAACGCTTCAGCGGTGACCCCTAAAAGCGTGCCGACTGGAAGAACCCGCCACGAAGGCCACATATCGTATGAGTCCATTTATAAGAAATGTCCAGAAAAGGCAAAACTACAGAAGCAGGAAACAGATGAGTGGCTGCAGGGGCTGGGGGGGAGGTGGAATGGGAGTGACTGCTAACTGATGTTGGGGATTCTTTCTGGGGCAAAGAAAGTTCTAGAAGGACTGCGTGGTGGATTGTACAACTCTATCAATATACTAAAAACCCACTGAGTTGTATGTTTAAAAAAAATGAATTTTACGGTATGTGATCTATACCTCAAGAACACTATTATTAAAAAAATAATTTTAAAAATGTGTTGCTCTCTTCTGGAGGGCAGTTTGGGGCAAATTCATGCTCTTTCCTTGAGGACGTAGTAGGTGGCAACAGCGGCCTCCTGCTGCTGACGCTGGTCATCTATCTGCCGATTCCGTGCTACGGAACGATCACTGCGAAATCGGTTACTGAGGAGAGAGGCTGAGAGATTAAAACGAATAAAAGGCAGACCCAGCCCTCTAGGAGCATCGTGTGCCATTTTTATGTTTCTGATACGGCCATACGGTGACACAGAGGAGGAGCTTTGTAAAAGACAGGTGCAAAGAACTGAGGACTCATGAAGACAAACGAGGGGCCACAGTCAAAAGTAGCGCAGGTTTCTGGTTGCCGCAGAGGACTTACTGGGCTCATGTAGATGCCTTGATGGACGTCTCCAAACTGGCCTTCCCCAATGCACCGTCCAAGCTCGATTCTTTCTCTCTGAATCTCATAATCCCTGGCTGCAAAACATGGCATATGTAAGTACCACATTCCAAACGCTGAGAGTACACTTGACGCTGGTTTCATTTCATTATCATCCATGAGTACAGATCGCACTGGCGGCACGTCAGTCTATGAAAATGCTTTAAACGGAGTGGAATTCTCTTAAACGGTATCTTAAAAGGAATTACACAAACTGTTACCGCATCGCGTGAACTACCAAAACCATGTAAGTTCTATTAAAGGTAGATTTTTTCCATATTTTTTAATGTCGATTTAGTTTTTATCTGTCTGATAGTTTTCTAAGCAGTTTCTCCAAAGTAGTAAATTATATGCTTAAGTAATCAGTGCTATTAGTTTAGGTATTAATATATGAAAGGCTAAAAAACACAGTTATTTAAAGCAATTATTTAACAAATAACTGAAGTTTGAAAATATGGAGGCAACAGAAAAACTGTGTCATGAGAAACTTTATGTTTTAAAAGTTTAAGAGTTTTCCACTTTCTTATGATCCTATCTATATTATTCACAGAGCTAAAAGAGTTTAAAGAGGTCGCTTCCAAAAACTAATTTCAAAATCAGGTGACTTGGAATCAAGGTTGAACATACAACATTATAAATTATAAGTATTTTACATTTTGAGAGCATTTGCCTCAAATTAATGTATTAAGTTGTTGTGATTTCATATGAAACCAACTGTTTAGTAGGCTGCTGAGGCGCATGGAAGTAAACACCGACTAGAAACCTCATCAACTGACTCTAATCCGATTAACGGCGTGGAGTTCTGATTTCCTGCGGCAGCCACCCAGCTGCACGACCAACACGGTGCACGTTCCACTAGTGTGGAACAAAATGATAGCCAAATGGTTCCAAAGTCTCTCCCTGGCTTACCAAATTATAAACTGTGCAGAAAGGTCCAATCCAAATTTTAGACGGCTCTTTTCCTCTTTAAAATCACTTTAGCTAGTAGTTCCATTGGTTTAACAGCACAAATAAACCGATGGAAAGTAGTTGAAAGATAAAAGTTAACTGAAAACTGAAACATCCCACGTCATTCCACAGGTTGCAATTGGCAAGCAAATGCAGTTATTTTAAAGGAGTCCTGTTACCTTCATCTATTCCATAGCTTTCTGTATTGCAATCAAGGGAGAAAAAAATTGAAGACCTTGCTTAGAAATAACTAATAGCAATTAGGTTAACAACAACAAACTCTGAGAGTATATTTCAACATTTACTTCGCTAAGTATTTTAACCACAAACATCAGTTTAAAAAAAAAAAAGAAGAAGACTAGACACACGCACACTCTGAATCTCCTTAAATTATCTCGATGTGATGACAACAATGCTTTTCAACCTCCGGTCGTAAATTCCTGCCCCGTAACCCATTTTTGTGGGGCCTGGAGCTTTACTACTCAACACTCAATAGCAAGCACACGGATGCAAATTTGGACAGGCTGCAGGGATGTATGAATGACTAAACGGCTAACCCAAATTTCAACATGTTCCATGTTGCTGTGCAAGCCAAAACACCCACGTTTCAGCGCTTCCTTCTGTTTCGAACCACTCTCTGATACCAGAGCTCTTACAGGGGGACACAGGGCGCCCCCGGGATAGCGCAGGCCTGATGCTGGGAGCGCCTCTTCAACGTGCACAGTTAATCTAAATGAGAGCATCTTTTAAAACAGTCACACAACAGGGTAAATAAAACGCCTGGAACATGTATTTTTCAGGTATGTCCAGCTCTACTGGAATCGGGACATCAGATGTTCAATTATTAAGGCCCCTGGGGCTGTATGCAGACTCATAACTGCGCCTCTTTTGGAGGGAGGTTTAGAATATATTTTCAAAATTTAAAAAAAGAAATTTTTTAAAGTAAACTCTATGCCATACGTGGGGCTTGAACTCTCGACTCCAAGATCAAGGGTCACATGCTCTACTGACAGAGCCAGCCAGGCGCCCCCAAGACATTTTTTTTGTTAATGTGAATGACGTTTCAAGTGTGTCTGCAATTCAAGATCTGGGACCACATCCTCCAACATGAGATCTGGGGCTCCCGGGTTCTCCTGCGTCGAGAAGCCCCACACACCAGAGAGAAGCGGAGCGCGGGCATTTCCAGGCAGCGGGAAGGGAATGCCCGAAGCCTCCCTCTCTGCACACCTCCCAGCCCAAGCTGCGGGGACTGTGCGCTGGAGGCAGGAAGCTCAAGGGCAGTGCAGGACAAAATTTCCAACAAAACGCAATTCACTGACTGTGCGTATTCCAAGAAGCGAACAGACATGTGTGTATATATATTTATTTGACTTTAAACAATACAATCGTCTACAGAGAGGAAGTTTTGTCACCAGTAAAGGCTGTATTACAGAGTCAGGAAACAAATTACGAAAACCCTGTAACTAAGCACACTTACTACAGGTATCTGAGCGTTAGGTTCTGACCTCGGACTCGGCCGAGGCTGAAAGAATTCTAAAGGGAGAGGAGCACATTTCTGTCGTGCACTCAGTGAACGATTAAAGATAGCTTAAAAACAATATCTAAAACTTCTAAATGTGAGATCTTTAGAAGTTCAATGCGGTCAAATCCGGGCGAGAACAAAATCAGAAGCCTACTTACTCGAGGGTATGGTGTAGGTGTCTTCTTCGTCTATGATCTCAGCATAATCATCCGTCTCTGCAGGAAAGGAAGCAGATATGTTGGAAGAGGGTAAATACTGACTTCCTGGCCTTTGATAGAATCAGAAAAGGCAAAATGAGCCACCCGAATGCCACGCTATGGGGACATATTCTCAAGACCCTATTCCTCCACTTCTGCTCACGCCTGAGTCATCTATGGAAATACGGGTGACGTCACGGTGCGTCTGTTGTAACACACAGACTTGTCTCTTGGGAACACACGGTGCTGGCACGGAAGGCCCTTGTGAGAAAGACGTGGAGCTTCTACGTCCAGGACTCGAAGCCCCACATCCGTTCCGACTGCAAAACTCTGCCTCGCACCAAGCCCGTGTTGAAACCCACCCTGCCTCTCCTGGGGTCGCTCTGAACAGGACAAGTGCTTCAGAGACTGAAAACCTGACTTTGCTCATAACTAGACTCTACAACAGAATCTGACTCTGGCCTCTCGGAAAACAAAAATGATGGCCTGACTGCTGCGGAGAGTAAGCGGGTGACAGATTTTGTTTGCTCTGGGTGGAAGCAGCCCAGGGATGATCTCCTGTCACCCTGCACTCAGGCATCCGAAGAGTTCGTGTTAATGCCAAAAGGGTGAAATCCAACAAGAAGAATGAAATGAGAAGAAATGGCATGTTACAATGAGTTCCGTTTGGAGGGGAAGTCAAGGACTTGGTTCCACTATTCCCTTTGGTAACACGGTGACTTAGAAATCCGCGTGCACACCGGCACTGGAAGCGCATCCGAGGAGAAGAGCCCTCGCTCGGACCCACCGGGAGCACGGCTGCGCCTGCTTTCCTCTTCCTGCGTTGCGCTGCGAGTTTAAGCTGCTGGGCCGGGAAAGGAGGAGTAGTGCTTCCAGAACTATCTTTGAGGACAGCTCTTCACAGAGAAAATCTGCCCAAGCATCCACGTTAACCCCAGAAACATCGAAAGCTAAATGTTCTTCCTTCTGTGCTGCTCTTACTACTTCACTCAGGTATTAAAATTACAGAAAAGAGAGAATATATACAGGCCACATTCTTTAGGATATCAGCCGTCCCACATATTGCCATGGTAATGATTGAGATCAGACCTCAGAGTTACTGGAAGAATTTAGTTCTTAATTAGCAGTGATTGAAATAAGACACAAATCCAGCGGGCAGAACACAGTCAACGAGCCAGTCGTCCGTAAAGCACTCAGGAAGTGTAAACTATTCCCAAGTCCTACGTGGGAGGCAGATCATCTCTATCATTCTCACATGTTCTAAGGAACTCTGCTTGCAGGATTAAAGAGAAACATTCAATCTACCCAAACCTTACATTCTTTTGTTTCTGTTTCTCCCTCCTATCCTGTTCTCAGCGAACTGGCATGTTCCAGCCTCTGGCTTTGCCTCCGTGCAGGCTTAGGAAGGACCGTGGGAAATGGCGTCTGGGATGACGGGAGCCACTAAGGCACCCTGAGAAAGGATGGACCAAGCAGGAGGGATGTGCACAAGCAGCTGAGGCGAGAGAAGCAACACTGCACACACGTGGCATCTACGCATGGTCTTGTCTCTGTTCTGTCATCGAGGCCCTCCCTTCAGAGAGCTGACAAAGGCAGAATTTCCACAAGCAACACATGCTACCCTCCCTGCCTTCTTTCCTACGAAGCACACACCTGCAGAGGCCACACACAGCGGGTGAGCCCGGGGCGGCGGCTGACCCGGCCGTGACAGCTGCCAGACCCCCGGCCCCTGCCGGCTCCCCCGCGGCCCTGTTCCCAGAGGTGCTTCACCAACCCCGGCCCCGCCTCCTGGCTCTCCTCGGGAGAGGCCCGGAGCAGTCAGCAGCGCATGGCTGTGGGTACTGCCTGCCTGACGGGGGAGGAGGGCACGAAGCTGCCAGAGCTGCCTCTCGCCCAGGACTTGCCACGTGCTGGGCTCCGGCGCGCTCAGCCGACTCTGGTTTGGGCCAGAATGTCACCCAGCCAGAGACTTTGCCTCCCACTGACCTGCCCCCATCCCCTATCACTGTTCATCATGCTGCTTTACTTTCTTCAGTCCCCGTCACCAACCGGCTGGCAGTCTTTGGTCCCTGGCCCACTGTCTGTCCCGCTCCAGATGGAGAACCAGGGACCAGAGCCCTTCTCCGCAGGGAACATGGGGCCCGGCGCGGGGGGGCGGTGCTGGCTGAACAGAGGAGGACTTCACCGCAATCCCGAGGCGAGGGGACCACAGCCGAGGCAAGGACGAGGCGCGGCCTGTGCGGGGCCGAGCAGCCCGGGTGGGGCGGAGCTGCGGGGCTCGGGACGGCCTGCGCCCTGCCGAGAGGTCCCCTCACCTGTCTGTGCTGCAGCCGTGTCCTCAGGTGGACAATGGGAACACGTATGCGCCGTGCAGGGTTGTTATGAGGATTACGGGAGATACGTACAAGTCGAGGTGTGGACCCGCGCAGGAGAGCTGGTCACAAAATCGTGGCTCCTCGTGGTTCTGCTGCTCCTGAGGGCTCCGCGGGAGGAACCTGGCAGTGGGCGGGTTCCTGCCCGTGGAGACTCTCGGTCAGCCCTCCTGGTGTGACTGCAGTGGCTTTGGGGACGGCCTCTTTTTAGAAAAGCCTCACTTGAAATGCCCACCTGCAGCAACGCTGAAGCCATAAAACAAACGGCTAACAGGTACCAGGCGAGCATGCAAAACTGATTCGGGAAAAATCAAGGTGCAGACGCTTTCATCAGTTACACGATCACAAGGAAGTGGCTGTAATTCTCCCTCAATGCTATGTGAGTCTACAGGAAACCTTCGGGGACATCAAAGCGGTCTGGGAGTGACTCAGGGTGACCTCAGGGGCATGCGCACGTGTATTGTGGTGTAACAGGACTAGGGAACGTCTCCTGCGGCCACCAGTGCTTGTGTCCCCCGGGGGCTGGTCTTACAGAGCAGAGCCACTGTCACTGGAGGGCCAGAGACCTAAAAAAGTGTCACTGGAACCTGCACAGCAGCTCTTGAGCTGCAGTACTTGGCCGAGTTCTCCAAGAATTCTTGATACTGATTCGGTTCTGTTTTCCTTTCCTGGTTTTTAGGATGAGAGGGTTTTACGATCCTGACAGGAGAGAGATGTGAAGACACTTTAGGGCCTGAAAAACCGGAGCCCAGCCTGAAACTGCCTGCACCCCACGATACAGGGGAAAGAGACACAACAAAAGGAAACAGCTTCCAAACCTGGGCACCAATAAGGGAAGGCAGATTGGCGTACAGATGACGGCAGCGGCGGTATCGGGACAGCACCAGGCCACCGACCCCGCGGGCAGCTGTGAGCGCTTCTCCGCTGACGTGGGTCTGCTGCCGTCAGCCCGCCTTGCAGACAGGAAACTGAGGCTCCCAGGGCACCCGTGAGCCCTCAAGGTCTCAGTGCCCATTGGGAGGGGGCCGGGATTCTGAGCAGCACTCGGGCACAGCCTCATCCCGAGTCACCCGCCATAACGTTTATAGGGACTCTTGTCTTCTAAGTCCTCTCTACCCGTGACGTGGAGCTCGAACTCACAACCCCGAGATCACGAGTCGCATGCTCCACCAACTAAGCAGCCTGGTGCCCCTGGGGACTTTTGTTCGTGAGACCGGACACCCTACGCTGTGAGACTACGAGATGTTCCTCTAGGGATATTCTGGGGGCCTCCCACACCCCCGACGCGGCACAGCTCTGCCCTAGGGATGTTCACGAGATGGGGGCCGGTGTCTTTGGGAGACCGCTTCAGGGTACCCGGTCCGGGAACCGAGTATTTCAAAACAAACACTTTGAAAGTGGAGACTCCTAAAACCTCGAACGACATGATGATCTGAAAGGCTGGGTGTCACGACATGCGGTGAAATCAGAACGAGAGGAGGACATGTAAAAAGGACAGAAACTGACAGCTCAGAAATCAGGAGGGAAGAGGGCCAGGCTCTCCGTTTCAGAGCAAAGTAAACTGGCTGAGGCACACGGCCAGGGAGACACTGGCACAGTGGCCCGGTGACCGCGTCTCCTGTTCTGTCGCCCCGCCTGAGGCTGGAGCGCCTGCCCGTACAGCTCGCAGAAGCCCTCGGGTCCATATCTCTCGAGTAGGGAGGTCTGCTCGCCCTCCCACAGAAGACGGGGAGCTGCTGTGCTTCTGCCACACCTCCTCTACTCACCTGCCACAAAATGGGGCCCCTTGCCCCGGGGGGTGCTTGGGCCCCGGCTCAGACACCTGCCACGCTACGACCCTGCTCCCCCGCTGTCCTCCCTCAGGGAGTCGGAGTCGGCCAATGCCGACTCCCACAGAGCAATGCTGAGGCAGAGACAAGACTTCTCGGGCACCTCCGGGCGACCCCCCTGCCGGTCACCGCCACATGCCGCCGGCCCAGACATCCTGGCAGGGGAGCTCTCTTCTGGGGAGCCGGGAGGGGCCCCCTGTGCTCTTTATGAGCCAGACCAGGGTCGGCAGCTGATCGCTGTCACAGCTCGGACAGCAGGTCTTTCCGACCCTACCGGTCACCATCCCTGCCGCTCCCGTCCAACTCTGAGCAGCCCCCTGCGCACAGCTGTGTGTGACTGCGCTCCCATGTGGACCCTGACATGGGAATTTCACAGAGTTTCGATGCCACAAATACTGTTCTTTTGATTTTTCCCCAATCGTTAAGAAAAGTAATAATCATTCTCTGCCCCAGGGCAATACGAAAACCAGAGGCGGGCTGTATTTCGCCCACAGGCCTCTGTCTGTGGACCCCCGGCCTAGAGCAAGCGGCTAATGCCTTAAAGCTCAGTTCGTTCATCTGCAAAATGGGGGCAGAAACACTTGCCCCATCTGACTGACAGAACTGGGAAAGGCCACCGTGGGAAAATGGTTTCAATGCTTAGAGCATGTGGGAATAACCACCTGTTTGCAAACGTTTGTTCAAATTCTCGGGCTTTCATGGTAATCCTCACAACAACCATGAGACCTTTCACGGATGAAGACGCACGAGATGAAGCAATCTGCTCAGGACCCCTCAGCTGGGCTGCCGGTGATGTGATGGGGCCGTGGGGGCAGCAGGAGGCTGGAGTCTCCCTCCTGACCACGCGTCCTGCAGCGGCCTCGGCCTCGGGAGTCTCCCCACCACGGGCTCACCAGTCCCTGCTCGGGCTCTGCAGCAAGGCCAGCACCCGGAGTCCCAAGCCTGTGCACAGGGGGCTCCGTACCAGCAGCGGTCACTGACTGGCGGGTAACTACCCAGGAGGGGTCTCCACACTGTCCGTCCCGGGGATCACATGCACCTTCCCAAAGTCATGTTTAGTAAACATCTTTCACTACTCGAGTTACCAATCCTACCGTGAAAACAACACGGGAAATCTTCAGGAAAAGCATTCTTTCCTTTAAGCATGAGGAAAAATGCAACCCTCCCCCCCATCTGAGTTTAGTGTAAAGAGTACAGAGTTTCATGCAGGCAGCACATGAAGTGGGCAACATAAAACACAACATGTGACTTTCAAATTTCTCGTTTTTTAAGAGCTACCCTCCACCGCTTAGAGAACCGTCCTTATCACTGCTGCTGATATCTCTCTAGTTTGTGTGATTCTTAAAAAATCATTTTTTGTCCCTTCCTTTCTACTACCCACTCCCAAACTAAGAATTATGATATAAATAAATAAATACACACACACACACACACACACACACACACACCCCATACTTTGGAAATGTTCTATGGATTTCTATCATTTACAGCTTTTACGTCTGACTAATCTTGTTGACTAGTGCTGTTCTGACAACTGTTCTAGAAATCTAAAGTTCTAATGATAAAATCTAGAAAATTCACTATGTGTAAATACAACCCAACTCAAATTTACCACTGAGACATGACAGAGAAACTGACAAAGCCAAGTTTTAAGAGATCATTTGTTCACATCATCATTTTTTTGTATTTGTTTTGCTGGATCAAAACCACATTTTGCCTTTCATTACATACCAAACCATATTTATGAATAAATAATTCTCATATTAGAAACACGAATGTGAAAATAAATATTACCGTCCCCACTAATTTCATCTGCAGATCCAGGTAGCATGCAAAGAAAGGGGGGAGGTGGGGTAGGAAGGAGGGCAGGGAGGGGAGAGAGGGAGACACACTATTAAAAAGACAAGTAAGTCAAAGCACAAGGAAAACAAAAAATCTCCCCCCAGGTCTAATTCTAAAGATGAGAGAGCGACTGCAGTAGTGAGTGTGTTTACTTGGCGTAAGGGCATCACGCCGTTTCCAGCTGTCCACACGTCATACAGAGTTCCACAGCCGTTCTGTAAAGCTGGTCCCGACCACATTGAGCAGAATTAATCTGAGAGGCTCTCAGAGTTAACTGCTAAAACTAGCCTGTACCCCCTCAAAGGAGATTTGCATCCTGTCAGATAAAAATGAAGATAAGCAGTCATCCCCACGTTTGGTGAAGGCTAGCCTCCCCCAGGGAGCCCCAGGCCAGGCCCAGCACAGAAGCAGAATGACGAGCCAAGTTTCCACTTGAATTTATGCAGTGTTTGGAGAAATTCCTGTTCCGATCATTACAAATAACCTTTGCTTCCCAAGAAACGATGCAAGTGGCCTGGGGACCTCGGCTCTGCAGCGCCCCCGAGTGCCTGCCAGCGAAGCACGACAAGCAGCCGGGGCCCCTCGGACCATCCTTCACTCTGCGGCATGCTGCTTTAGGACACCCGCAGTGTAGACCGAGGTACCTGCTGGCCCCCCACATAAACCAGGAAGCCACGCCTCGCCCTGTCATGCATTTGAAAACCAGCAAACAGGCAAACAGAATGTCTTCTCTCGGAGGGCAGTCCCGAGAGGCTGCTGGGCAGCCCCGAGCGTGTACACTGAGCCCCGGTTAAGGCACACTCAGCTCAGGACAATATACAAGCGTCCGGTTAGGCCCGCGGCCCGGGCAGGGTTAGTGGGAGCCGACGCGAGCGAGTGCAGTACCGGTAGGAGAAGGCTCATGGGAACAGAAGACCAAAGGGAGAAAGCGCCTAGCTTTCTTAACTTTATGCTGGCGGGGACTGACTCCTTTATAAAGAGGCAAGAGGAAGAAAGAGAAAAATAGAAACACATTATTTCATACGAAAATACAAAAGAAAACTTACATTACATTTTAAGGCAGCTCTATAAAAGCAAATACAAACTTGCAATGCTTTCATTGGACTACTGGCTCACTTTATTTCTTACTCTGATTTGACTTGAGTTTTAAAAAGCATACTAATATTTCAAAATACGAGTTCCTCTTTTAGCCAAGATTAGCACTAGATACAGAAACTCTTAGCCAGACACACGAGTCTCCCAGCTCTGCAGAGCCAGCCAAGTAAAGGTAGTACAGACATTTTTACAAATAACAAAACTGAAACAAACTGAAACAAGACCAAAAAAAAAAAAAAAAAAATAAATAATTCAAGAATCCTGTGGACATTCAACCACAAGGAAAAACTGCCAGAAACTAGCACATCGTGATCTGTGAGTTTCATGAGCAATTTCCCCCAAATCATCAACAAAGACACAGGCTCACAGACCTCCAGGGACACCCTAAATAAATGACTTTAACGTACAAACCAGCGATGAGGCGTCTGAATGTGCAGCCTGCAAAGCCCCGTGGCCCCTAGCACGGTCTCTCACGAACTGCACACTGCGACAGCATCTCTGCCCCAGACGCCCGGGGGCAGCCCAGCCTGCCAGAAGCCCAGCGCAGCAGCGCAGTAGCGCAGAGAAGCAACAACCACAGTGTGGCATGGGGCAGAGAGGGCGTCTGTCAGACTGAAGTCAGAACAGGGGACTTCAGCTCCTGAACACGCAGCGCTAAGAACATGGGACACAGAAGACACGCGACATTTAACGGCATCCCAGGGGGGTCCCCTCGAGAAAGGACTTCAGGGAGAGCAGGGCCGGGACCCACTGATGGCAGGGACTTACAGACGGTGTCAGCGTGCTAGGAACGGAAGCAAGAGGAACAGAAACAGACCACGTAGTGATATTTCAGATGCTGCACTGTGGCCCCGACCCTGTTACGGGGGGTTTCACCCTCTGTCGCCATCGGGAGAGCACAGCTCCCTGTGGCTGTTGGTTAAGAACGGAGGCCTGGCGCTAAGCCTGCATGTGCCCGGGTGGGCCTGGGCCTGGGGCTGAGGATGAGAGCAGGGGCAAGAGGTCCAGGGGATGTGATGGGTGAGACGGGAACCCAGACGGCGGGAAAGGGGACAGCATTCCGTCAGTGTCCTGATTTCGATAATTACCTTGTGATCGTGTGAGAGGATGTCTCTGGTCTTAGGAAATACATGTCGGAACATTTGTCAGTAAAGGGGTACACCACGCCCGCAAGTCCCATCAAACAGCCCAAAGGGGAAAAAACTGAGCGAAGACAAGGGAGCCAAAATATAGTGAGTCCAAGTAAGGAACAGGAGAAACTTCATTTTACTGTTTTAAACCCATTCTCTAGGTGTGGAATTATGGAAACATAAAATAATCAAAGTACACATATTTGACTTGAAATACTGGCTCCCCTACTCGTTCTTTGACCTTGAAAAAGTTATGAACTTGTTTCATTGGTGAAGGGAGGCAGCGACAGCGGCTTCCTCTGTAGGGAGCGGCGGCGAGCACCCCGTGGGGTTCCCCGGGCACCTGGCACGGGGCAGCCGCTGCGTAAGTGTGAGCTAGTCCCATTCTCCATCGCTTCTCTTATTTCTAAACTGACCCGAGTACAGAGTTCTCCTCCAGGCCTCGTGCGACAAGGGCTCTGAGGGGAAGCCACGGTCCTGGCTTTGAGGGCGGCGGTGCCCCCAGGGCGGGGGCCAGGGCTGGTAGGGAGGTGACCAGAGGCTCAGGGGAGATGCTGTGGATGACACACAGGTGAAGGGCGGGGGGTGACACAGGAAGCCTCTCAAGGAGCTGGCGCCCCGGGCATCCGTGGGAGGGGATCAGCACCTCCTTCCTGCTTGTCTTTAGTTACACAAGCAGAGCAGCAGCCCCAAATGAGGCCAAAGTGCACGGATCCGTAACGCTGCTCGGAAAACGAGAGCACAGAAGAACAAGACCCAGCCAGGGAAGCGCCACATCATTTTAGAGAACTGGAGAATAAAGGAAATGAAGAGGGCAGTTCTCTCATCTTTCCCGTAGGAAGCATGTCCCGGGGTGAACGAGGAGCTGTGAGGAAAAGCTGTTTTTGCAAGGACGACAGCTAACGAGGTAAAGACGTGGCAGACGTCACGGGCGGCCACCTTGCGGCCCAACAGAATCCAGGCCGGCGAAGCCACGGGCGCAAAGGCCTCGGGTGCGGTGCTCACGGGAGGTTTAGAGCGCTTGCTCGGACACTGACCCAGGCGACTGGTCGGCCTGCAGGTCCTGGCGAGAGCGAGCCACATGGGGTGTTTCTTCTAAACAACCCAACAAGCCGCTGAGCCTGAATCTGATCCAACTTCCCTTGATCCTAGTAAACGGCCCATGGCCCACGGGGAATACAGAAATGCAGGAGCCCGGGGGGAGCACATCAGCACAGCGTCACAGACGTGTCCCTAGCTGGACCCAGAGTATGGGGACAACAGCGTAGGCGACACAATGTCTTCAACAGATAAAGCGCAGCGATGCTGCTTACTAGTGGAGGTGACCAGGTGAAGGTGGAAACAGGTGCACGGGGCTGAGGTAACAGGCGTGTGGCCTGGAAAGTGTGGAAAAGTGAACAGGCCGTTGAGTCTGCGGTCGTACTTGTTGCTCTGTGTTTCCTGTGGGCTTTTCCTTCCGGGAGGGGTCTCAGCTGCTCCCGCAGGGGGCCTCCACGTGTCTCTCTAGACGTCTGCAGCCCAGGGGTCAAGGCCAACTCAAGACTCAGGACTAGGAAGCCAGTTTAGCTCTGGAGACTACTTTAGAATGCATGGTCTAGCCATCTCAGTGCCCATGTGACTCCAGAGTATTTTTCTCAATCCCGTGAGAAGCCAGAAAGGGGAGAGGCAGGTGGTTGGGCAGCCCGGTCTCAGCAGAGGCAGAGTTCCAGTGCCCTGGTGAAGGAGGCGGAGGGAAGCCAGCACAGAGGGCTGCCACGGCCATCAGCCACCCTGACCACACCCAGGGAGAAACCACTGTGACCCTCTTGACGGCTGAATGTCTCTCCTAACAGGAGACGGATTATAGAGCCTACTTGTGATCGCCGAAATCAGAGCTTCTAGTAAGCCAGCTACTAGGAACAAGCCAGTAACACCCAACACTTACACTTCCTGTAATTAAGTATACTCAGCACCATCGATTTGATTAAGTTACATCACAGAGCACGTAAATTATAAAAATCAACTCTGCACATAATGAGTGCTAATACTCTGTTAGGATACTTAAAAAAAATTCCCAAAAGCTAGTGTTAAAATCAAGCTTTCAGCAATAGACAGGACTACGCTGTAAACCAGAGCCGTGAGAATTGAAGCTAGCAGGCAAACCGGACAAAAGAAACCCTTTCAAACCCGAGTATAGGGCAGGCTTTTGAATTTGAACAGAAGAGCGTCAGAAATGAGGCAGTACTGTGCTATTCTGGACAAATGGGGGGACAGACCACAATGCAATCACACTCAAACTGTTCCAAACCAGTCCTCCTTCCACAAAGGAAAGTCACTAAGCTTCTGAATGATTCGGAGTGGTCTAAGGTAAAGGCAGCGGGCTGTTGAGTTCAAGGCGTGAGTTTCTATCAGGCTTTCTAGTACTTACTATGTGAGCCGGGCCAGGCCACCTCACCTCTTGAGTCTTAAGCTCCTCACCTGTAAAGTGGGAACAGCACCAGGAAGAGTGTCTGGAGGTTTAAACAAGATAATGCACGTGAACATGGCAGGCATCATCTCTGGGCCCCGTTTGTATATAAATACCTGTGTACAGGGGCGCCTAGGAGGCTCAGTGGGTTAAAGCCTTTGCCTTCGGCTCAGGTCATGATCCCAGGGTCCTGGGATCGAGCCCCGCATCGGGCTCTCTGTTCTGCAGGGAGCCTGCTTCCCCACCTCTCTCTGCCTGCTGCTCTGCCTGCTTGTGATCTCTGTCAAATAAATAAAATCTTAAAAAAAAAAATACTTTTAGTTTAGAATAATTTTTAGTCACTAACTCGAAAAACCTAAAAGCCATAAAGGAAATGATGATGCACGATTAACAACTAAACCAAAAAATCTGTTCCGAAGTTAAAATTTTCTAAATTGCAACAAATACTGAAAAAGTGCTGTCACACAGGGCTCAGCAGAAACGATCAAACCAGACAGAAGAAGATCACCACGTCCGCTTTCATGGCAGAGATGTAAAAGAGAAAAACCTTCTACAACCTCTGATCCCACTTCATGCAATCGAAACGGTCAACCAGAGCCCTGGTCATACTGCGGCGGCACCATCACTACGTGCGGCCCTGTACTTCTGGTCACAGTAAGGTTTAAAAAACAAACCAAGAAAACCCTAAAACTCAAAAACCAACCAAACAAAAGACCAGAGTTTATACCTTCAAAACATTTAAAATTCAGCTTTATTCACTGCCCTGTGTTCCTGGAGCATTTGCGTGCGCACGCACGCACACACACATACACTCTCTCTCTCTCTCTCTCTCCTCTCTCTCTCTCCCGGCTCAAGCCTCGACAGGGATGCAGGCCACCCCCCTCCCTGCCATGCTCGCAGCCCCTTCCTGCAAGCACTGGGCTCTCGGTCCTAACTGAGCTGCTCTATAATACACACATGTCTCCAAGAACTTACAAGGCTAAAAAAAATTACTTTAGGCCCTTGGAATCATGTGTCCAGGGAACTGTGCTGTTACTCTTTAAATCTTTCAATGTTACGTCTATTTTCACAGGGAAACTTTGCCTAGACTTCAAAGGCAATCTCTCCGTATCGTCACCATACAGCTGTGGTCTTAATGAAGATGACCAAGGACTGACATTTCTTTGCAAGGAAACAAGAATGAGAGCCTGGTACCTCCTCTCGCGAAGTCAGGATTCTGCTCCATTTCCCAACCAGGGATCCACCCAGAGCTGAAAATGCCTTCAGTTATCTAGATCTTCATTCTCCCTCTTGGCAGGCGTCCTCGCTCCTCACCCAAACACTCCAGAACCACTCGCAGTGATGAGCTCACAGGCCGTCATCCGAGAGAGAGCCGAGGATTCTGACACGCCTGCGAGCTCCCAGTGTCCTGCCTTTCTTCCTTCCGCTCCCGGTCCTGGAATTGCATTTCTAAGTCCTGGGCTGTCTCCACACCTTGCTCAGGCATCCACTGACTCACTCAAACACAGTTACTAAGTACTGAGGTCCCGTCAATAAGCAGACAACTAGAACAGTCTTTGCTTATGATGCGGCTGTGATCTTGTGGACAAGACGGTTTCTAAATTGATCACATCGGTCTAAAGACTTTTCATAACAGAAGGATGCACAGTGGGCTAGAATACTCTGGGGAAGGAGTCTGGAGTAGTCGGGAAGGCTTCTAGGTGGCGGTGATATCTGAATCTGGTCTGAAGATTAGGTAAGAACTTTCCCGAAACAGGGCAGTCAGACAAGTTCCACTTTCTCCACCTTCCAATGGCTTCTCCACCTGTACCCAAGGGAACCCCTCTACACCGGCGCTGAAGGAGAACACTGCCTAGGGGGCAATAATGCCCCAGTTGCAATCGTTTCAAGGGCGACAGTAACACATCTGTTTACTTTCTGAATTTCTTTCCTCAGATCTGTGAAAGAGGGAGGTAAAAGGCCCTGTAAGGCTGTCATAGATCATATCTAAGGCATGTGAAGGGTTTAATGCCCTGAAGCCGTTCTGAATACTTACTAAGGAGAGCCCTGCCCCCTCCCTGCTGTGCGCGACCCGGCCAAGCTGCTAGACCTGCCGCATCTCCTGGCCCCTCTCCCCGATCTCTGCCACCTCGGCTGCAACTCTCACTTCACTCAGCTAGCGGCGCCCACGTTACCTGCTCAGAGATATTCCCTTGACCACAATTCTAGGATCTCGTAAAACGTGTTATTTATTTACATAGTCTCTACTCCCGGGGTGGCCGGAACTCATGACCCCAAGATCTAGAGTCGCACACTCCACCGAATGAGGCAGCCAGGCGCCCCCTGACTATAGTTTTCAAAAGCCTCCCCCCTTGCTGCGCTCGGTTCACCTGTTAGGTGTTAATCCAGTGTCTCTGGTCTGTCTCCTCCACAGAATGCCAACTGCGTAACGGCAGGGACGTGGCCTTGCTCTGGCCGTCATACCCCGCCCTCAGCACGGTGCCTGCACGCGGCCAGCGCACGGCACTTGCTGACTGAACTCATGCAAAGTGGAGAGTGTCGAACTGCACTAACACCCATCTCGCAGGGCTCGCGAGGGGCTCCACGAGACAGGGCGAGACAGAGAGGCACGCGCTCGCGGCCGGCACGTCACGGGACTGCAGCTCCACCCGGGAGCCAGGACAAAGAGAGCGGGCTCGCTGCAGGGGAAGCAGACCCCAGTCTGCAGGCCCGGGGCAGCGGGTTCTCCCCCTCGGGGGCCAGAGCCACCCCCACGTGGTACAGGTCTCCACGCTGCTCGGTAAAGAAACCCCCGGGGTTAGAAACAGTACCGGCTTTCTGGGTATCAGTGTAACAGCTTCCGGGTTAGCGTGGGCAGGCTCCTGGTGGGCTGGATGTTAGGTTTTACGGTCTCTGTGGGGACATAAATACCCACACCTGTCAGCCCAGTTCACTGAAGGGAGTAGGCAATGATGGGATGACTGGGGTGCGGAGCACTCCAGAGCCACTGGCGTGGTCGCTAAAGGTCCCCTGAACCCCAAGTACTCTCCTTCGCCTGCAGTGGTAAATGACCACAGTGACAAGCACGTTAGAGTGTCACTGTAAGAATGGGAAGACAGTGACACGGGTCCCGGCCAACAGGACAGCTCAAGCAAGCTCACCGACTGCTGTGAGAGGGTGGGTAGAAGAGGCTGGAAAACAACGTGTGTGTTGGCAGGGGGCAGCTCTGAGGGCTAAGTTCAGGGACGTAAACTTTGTCCAACTGTAAATTCGAACTGCAAGTCTCTGACCAGACAGTTGCCTATTTAAATTATATACACAGGATGGCAATGCGATCAATTAACCTGGAGAAGGGACCGCGGTCAGACCCGCGGCTATGGGGATAGCTAGGGACAATGAAGGCAGGACGGGAAAGGGTGGGTGGCAGAGAGAGGTAAAGCCCCGATGTTCGAGGATGTCAGCTGCTAAAAACTCTGAAGTTCAAAGCCTGAAGCGGGGAGGACACAGATTAGGGGGTCCAGGAGAACAGAAGGAACGGATGTGAAGGGTTTCTGAAGACCTCCTCTGGGCCGCAGTCGCGACACACCCAACAGGGCACCCCTGCTCTCGCTTCAGCATGGGCTGGGGAGCACACTGGCCCCCATGGGGCTGGTGCACCTGCTCGCGGCCCACAGCATGACGGCGTGGAGCTCTGAGAGCTGCACAGCTGGCCCCGATCTCACCTGTTCTACACGGCACACTGTGGGTCATCCCAGGGCGCCCGCCATCCTCTCCGCAGGACCCAGGCCTGCTCAGGGAGTGAATCCTCTGCCACGCTCACCACTTTAGCCAGGGCAGCTTCTGTCTGTCCAAATGGATCACAAACTCCCTGAGGGCCTGGTTTACGCCTGCCCCATGGTGCCCCAGCCCCACGGCTGGGTTGGGAGAGCACACCCATGAAGGCAGCATGCCAGCACAAAGGACTATTCTTCCAGAACGTGCTGGCAAGCCCACAGCCCACCAGACATCGGACACCGGCCAGGGCCCCAGCTTGAGTACCCAGAATGCTCTCCAGCTCGTCAGGGAGTGACCGCAGAGCTCTGGCACGTCTGTCCCACAGCTCGTCACTAGAGTCTTTGCCAAGTGTATAGAGCTGGGCACGAACACTTCGTGAGAGAGTGTTGTGGGGTGTTTGTGCCCAGTAAAAAACAAGCAATTACATTTGGATGCTGGAACACGAGGGAGGAATGCAGTCACCGACCTGGCAAAAGCATAAAACTAATTTCAGAACAAGTTAACTCAAGGGAAATCAAAAGAATAGGAATTAGGTTTCTTCTGAGTCACATTATTAGACACGAGTTATTGGGAAGCTGCTGTTGTAGAAACGTAGCACAGAGCTCAGACTGGACTGTAGATGTGCGTGTGTGCATGTGTGTACATGTGTGCACACATATGTGTGTCTGCATGTTGTATTCACGTGTGCACACACATGCATGTCTGCGTGGACGTATAAAAGACACCAAACTTGGGTCCACAGAAGATGCTTCCCGTTCCCGCTTTCCTCATTTCCCACATTATTCAATGGGGGAAAATGGCATATATTTTTTGAAAACATACGAAGGAAAGCACACCATACTCATGACCCCAGCAAAAAATAGTTAACATACTGCCTGTGCCAGTATCTTAACTATATCTCTTAGAAAAGCAATATTCAAACACGACTTGATGTTAACTGAGAAACAGAAACCACTGAAAAACATTTTGCATTTCTTGAACTCAGAACAACAATAAATACACCAAGTACACACTGTTACATTCTAGGTTGCAAAGATCCATTAGAGCGGCAGGCTCCAGAGTGAGAGCGTTAGCTCTGAACAGGATCAACATGGCATCACAACTGAAGCGAAACTCGCAATTCTATACGGTCTGGGAAGAAATCCAGTATTACACATACACGTCTTCTCTAGGGCAAACCTGTGAACCACATTTAAACCTGTTTAATGACGTTAAAATTCGGGAGCTTTGGGTCATCAGACTGCTTAGCTTCTAAGCTATTCTAGAAAGAGCCATCACAACCGAGAGCCCCCTCCGGCTACAGCACTGTGAACGTTTCCGCGGGGCAGCTGGCCGGCTGGGGCTTCCCAGGGGAGCCTTCTCACCTGACACGGAGACCGCATGTGTCCGCACGCCTTGCTTCTCGCTGTTGGCCGGCCTGAAACAGAGAGGAGCAAAGCCGTGAGCGCCTAGAGTCGGGACCACGCTGTTTCTCATGGAGACCACCCACTTCCGAGGATTGTTTTTAAGATGAAGCGTTACTACCCGAGGCACTTAAAATAACCAGGCCGCGGTACTGTTCTAGAAGTCAGAAATCACGACAGGCAACTGGAGGAACGCTGAGCAGCTCTGAGAAAGCCACTCGTGCCAGCACTTTCCGCCCTACACCTCCACTCCGCGCCACGGGGTACGTGGGTCCGGTCAAGCTTTACACTGCAATGCGAGCCTGCAGGGGACTGGCCCGCGCTTACGAAGCAGAGGGAAGAGACACCCAGAGCTGGAATCACACTCTAAAACGTAATGTGAGACACTGGAGGGTCCCTGGTCCTTTTTCAGTTCATAGTATGCAAAGGGCAGGCAGGACACTGATACTTGTTCTCATTATTTACAGACCGAAAACAAGTAAGCCTCGTGTATCTGGTTACTTGTTTCATTCAATGGCCCCACAACAAGTGTGTTTTACATATTCACCACTTAAAGTAAAATTTCAGCCAAAAGTCTTAGCGACATTTAAAATACATTACTGTAGTTCCGTTTTAAACTTTTGGAAAGCACAAAACACAGAGAAAGTAAAGGAACCCCAGACTCTTGAGATACCAGAGCGAGCAGCATCTGACATTTTCATGGAAGACTCCTTCCAGATCCTTAAGCATGCACTACAGAAACGCCAAACAGGAAATGGTTCTAGCACATAGAATGGACCCTGGGAAATAGGGGACCGAGAGCAGACCCCTCGAGAGCAGGAACATCCCGTACGTGGTCATGGGGCCTCTGTGGTCAGGCATCTCAGCACAGAGCCATGGGACCCGGCTCCTTTTACGGAGTTCTCTGCGTATCCGCGATCTCACGATCTCTGAGGCTGGACCAGAGCTGCAGCGGGACACGTCAGTAGCTCCAGCTCCACGGCCACCACCAGACGCCCGCAACTCCCCGAACCGGGCGCACCGGGAAGTCCGGGTGCGCGCTCCCGAGAGCAGGCCAGGCCAGCCGCCTCCACACTCCGCAGCCCGCGGTCTCCGGGGACTGCGGCCACTCAGCCTGCCCAGCACCGCCTACCACCAACGGCCACCACAGCACCTGCTGCTCTATGATCTGTGGCCATGTCACCCTTTCAAAGTTTGCTTCTTTATTCGGTGTTTCTAGTGTCTATTGTCACTTCTGACCTACTATACTCTCCATCCACTTCCGTACCTGGGTTTACGATTCTGCATGTTTTAATCCTCAAAGTCGTCTCTCACAGATTTCCTGCAGTTGAAGATATTCTGGGCTTAAGTTTCTGGCCTAATGTGGGACACTAATGAATATCTATTTAACATTACTGAGTTTGGGAAACACGCTTCCTGAGAGCTGAAAGTGAGCTGCTTTGGCCCATCCCTCCCCCGCCCACACAGCTATGGGGCACCCCTCACACACCAGACACTCCCCAGTCAGGTCTGTGATGCCACATGACCCTGGCTGACCACGGGGCCCCAGGGGCATGGATGAGCAAAAAGGCAGTTCTGCAAGTGTGGGAAGTCCTCCGGCAGGGTGTTATGGGGAAGCACACGGGGGTGCCCTCCAGGACTGGACGATCATGGGAAGTTTCTAGAGCCTGGAAAGCAGAGCAGGGCCAGGTGAGTTTACAGACACCGGAGCCGAGAGGCCTGGGAGCGAAGAGCCTGGAGGCACAGAAAAGGGGCGTTTACTCTGGCAACTAAAGAAGTTCAGCAGAGCCAGGAAGGGCAGGAGTGGTGGTGAAGCAAGCCCAGAGGGGCCGGGAGGACCAGAGGTCGGGTCCCGCCCGCAGGCCCAAGGATGCTGGCCTGTACCTACAGAGCTCCAGCAACGCCTGCAGGAGTCGTGAAGCTGTTCTGGGCCCGGAGCACTCGGCACTGGGCTGTGATGCTTACTTACCCAGGTGTCCGCACTGCCCAAGTTTAACTTTCATTTGGTGCCCGGTCCCTCACACACTGGCTGACCCCAGAGAAGTTACTAAATAAGTTCTTCCGGCATCACTGCTCAATTCTTTTTAATCTTACAGATCAACACATCTACTACGAAATTTGTGATACAAACAACTTAAGAAATGAACTTAAATTACTTGTTTACTTTTCTCACTTGTAAAATGGCCAGAATGGCACCAGTTCTCAGGTTCTTACAAAGGTGAATGCTGAGTATAAACCATCAACAGGCCTCCCTGGTACTGTCACTGGGACGGTCCTCTGGCCACCCAGTGAACTTAAGGTATGGGGAAAGTCATCTTACACTTCTGGTTAACCCTAAATACATAACACGATTTACAACTGATTTGACTTCTTCCTGGAAATACTTATTTTCTACCTCCCTAGTCATATACAGAGAAATTTGGTGATTCAGGCAAATGGGAAATAAAGCATGGTGATTGCTTGACAGTTTCCAACACGACTAAGTAACAAAATGCACAAGGCGGCACTTACTTTGGTATCGATGGCAAAGCCCGTTCACCTTCTGGAAAAAGAGAGAGAGAGAGAGAAAAATGAGATTCCCATTTCTTTTGAAAAGACTATGTGTAGCAATCAGAGAACAAGTAAGTCTTAGTTGAGAATTTATGAATAACGTTTTAATAAGGAAATTATACCATGTATCTTAGGCTCCGCGCGTCATTTTCAGTGTTTACAATGCATGTGAACTGACCAGAGGCGCACACTGTGCGGACGGTACTGCCCAATCACAGCGCAGCCCTGAGGGGCTAGGTGGGTGGACACGTACCTCCCAGGAGATCCTGTAAAATGAAGGACCTCTTCTGCTCAAAGTCAACATTCCTTTACAGCAAAGGGCGGGCCATTTGTCCTTTGATAACAACGCTCAGTAGGATCAACCCTGAGACCCGTCTAGGGAAGCACGAATACGAGGAAAACAAACCCCCGGGATGGAGGCAGAGGGACAGAGGCACCGAGCCACGCGGGAAGGAAGCCCACCTGTAGCACGTGACCCGGGGAGGGGGTCACCTCCCACCCGTCACGGGCTGGACTCCTGGTTCCCAGCAGGGGCTCCTGCTGCTCTCACCCCAGAGAAGCCCAGGACTCTGTCTGGTGGTTGACAGAGGCATGCTCTCCCCACCCTCCTTCCAGAAGCAGGAAGCACAGAGCCCCCAGGTAGTATCTTCAATCCGTATAAATCTCACAGGCACCTAACCAATCCCCTCCTCTAATCCATCCCCGAGCTAAATTACTACTAGGACAATCTTCCCCTGATACAAACCCATCAAGTCATTCCCTTAGTTAAAATTTCATGTCTCTCATTGGCTTTAAGATTTTATGTTTAAGTAGTGTCTACACTTAATGCAGGACTCGAACTCAGAACCCTGAGGTTGAGAGTCGCATGCTCTGCTGACTTGAGCCAGACAGACGCCCCCCTCGACGGGTAGTGAGAAGAAATGTAAGTGTATCTGCATGACCCACTAAGCACTGCTTCATTCTGCTGGTACAGGACAGCGGCCCGCCTCCGTCTTCGGGTGCTGCCACCCTACTACCCACCTCTCTGACGCCTGCCCAGGCAGCCGTTAGCGTCACCCAGTGCCATCACGACCGCTGTCTGCAGGTCTGCTCCTTGCACTCGCCCTAGAACTCAGTGCCAAGAGCTCTCCGACCCCAGAAGTCACCTTTGTCCTGTCTCCCCAGTCTTGTTCTGCACTGTCCCCTGGTCCCCGGTGACTGCAGTCTGTACTTCCCCGAGCACACCATGCTGCCTGCACATTCCAACCCCCAAGAGAAGCTCTTCCTTCCTGTAGAAAGACCATCCCCCTGTTTCTCCAAGCTCAGTTCAGTGGGGGACGGACTAGAGGGGCAGTGGGGATTAGGGAGAGCACTTGTTATGACGAGCACTGGGTGTTTTATGCAAGAGACGATTCACTGAATTCTATTCCGGAAACCAATATTGCACTGTATGTTAACTAAAATTAAAAATAAATAAATAAATGATATAATATTTAAAAAAAAAAAAAAAGGCAAGCTCCATTCGAGCACAGCATGAGCTCCGGGGAGCCCTTCCTGCAGCCCCCAGGGTGGCTCTGGCAGTGCCACTGCACTTCTGCCTCATTCCGGGCACTTCCAGGATCAGAGCACTCGAAGGTCGGACTTAACCTGCACACAGGCGGCTCTAACACCCCGCAGCGCTCCCGGCGCTCAGAAGCTTCTCAGACCACCGCTTGGTAACTGAGAAGTCAATGAGCCTTGGACCCCGTGTGAGTGACTTTCTGAACGACAGTTTACCTATGAAACAGAAGTCGGACTGTCCGGTCGGCAGGGACAGTGGGGAGGCATGACTAGCGCAGAACCCAGACCACTACCGTGTGACACCCCATATGCCACCACAATCCCACCCACATGGCCTGGCTCTGACTTCCTGACATCCACATTTCAAGCAAAATAACCGAGTCGTGAAGCCCAAATGTGGAGTCACTAGAAAATCCTATCATTAGCTGACCACCATGAACACTCCGACCACGTCTTGCCCATACCCACCACTGCCAGTTAGTAACGGCCTTGCCCGTGACACATCAGCGTGGCCGCTAGCTGTCTGCACTCTTTGTCGCAATGTCTACTTCCCTGGAGAGAAAAGAGAGCCGTTCATAAACACTTGGTTACCAGAGACCTCCTAAGCGGCTGGGCAGGGGCAGAAAGAGGGCTGTAAATGAGCTGGTTACCAACGAGCATCCTGAGAGTACGTTTTCAGGAAGCGGGGAAGTTACTGATCACAGCGTACAACGGCAACACACACTAGCAGCAGCAGTTATAAAAACTCAGCACTCACCAACTGAAATGCCTGGTTCCCCGTGTTAATTTTTAACATTCCCTTAAATTTAGAAGCTGAATGCCTAACATACGATTTCGCGTGTCATTCCCACAGCGGGTATCTTATTTTCTGGAGTAAATCCTTTAGGAATAAGGATGTATCCACAAATGTAGGTTACAACCTCCATTTGACTTCTAATTTTTGAATAAAAGATTTTATCCATTTTTTAAACTGAACAATGCAGGCTTCCCGTAACCATCTCCGTCATAAAGGTGTGTACTGTAGGGAGGATGAGGACGCGCCAAAGCCTCCTCGCCCGCTTCAGACACATCTCCACCTCCCGGAGCTCCCCCCGTCCACCGTCGGTCACTGGGCTGCCCTGACTTCCCGACCGCGGACACTTGTGAACACACACACAGTTTGGCTACACGTGTGTCTTGCAGCGCGGAAAGAGCGCCCCCTGATGGTCCCCAGCTGTGGCACGCTCTCGGCGGGCATCTCCGCGGGGAGCACGCTGCCTCCGTCAGGGACCACTTCCCACCGTGTGGACACTGGGGCAGTTTCTGGTTCTGAGCTTCTACACACACTGCACAGTGAACACCCTCAGACTGTCTGATTCTGCGGGAGGATTTCTAGAAGGCAGACAACGGGCAGGGGCGCCCCCGCCACGCGGGCCGCGAACACCTCCCACGGACACCAACATAGTGTGCGGGCAGGTCTTCGAGCCCCGCCGAGGATGGGATGGAAGATCAGTCACCTCACCAGACCCAAACCAGAGAGGCGCTCAGTTGCCGCTGGTGCCCTGCTTCCTGCGCGTCTGCGTGTCCGCTCTCCCACAAGGAGCCCGTCTACCCACTGGCTCGTCTCAGTGAGCGGAGAACACGTGAGAAGGGAGACCTGGACTCCTTGCTGTCTGTGTCACCGATGTTCTCCCTCCTGTGTCTCGGCTTTAAAGAACGTTTCTTTCACTGACAGAAGTGCTCTCACGTTTACACAACCCGCCTGTCAGTTCTGGTCTGGCTCCTCCCCGGGCCATGACATCTTGGAAGCGTGGATCCCCTCCCTCACAGGTGCAGGCTCGTTAATGAGGAGATTAGGACCCTATGTTAACTTGCAAAATTCTCTCCTCTAAGGGAAATCTGACTAAAATTGAAAAACCGCCACTGAACTTTCTTGGACGGCATAGGCTAGCTAACGCCCTACAATAAGGGCCAAGGTCATTCAGCAACCCTGGAGGAACTCGGCTCAGGATATCTTGCTATGTATGGCTCTAATTCTGTTGTCTGCCCGAGTAAAACCACCATTAAAAGCGCTGTGTGAGTGCAACATAATTGTGGTGGTCAAAGAACGGATCAGGTGCACCTGAGCACACTCAGAGCTCACAGCAGAACCTGTGGATCACCTAGAACGGTGTCTCTGTTGTGCACGTAAACATGTATATGCCGCTTACTGCGTACCAGTTTACAATCTAGAGCAGACACGCGGGCGCATCCGCGATCGTGACCGCACACTGCCAGGAAAGTGGTGCACCGCGCTGTAGAGACGTGCTCAATTTAGTAGACATTTCAAAAAAATCTAAATTAAAAAATGCTCATGTGCTCTTGTCCACATGTATTTTGGACTATAATCCACTAAAAATGTTTGACTTAAAGTACCATCTCCACTGGGCAGTACAGCTTCGCTTAGGTATCCAGGATAGAAGTTGTGTAATAAATGAACATGCTGGGACTGAGAACAGGGTTATTATCGAGTCTAGTATCTCATTCTGTAAAATCAACATAAAATTGCTAAGCGCACCCTACTAGGATTTTATGAGAAGCGTTTTTCCCTTGTGCTCTAGTCAGACGCATGAAGAACTTAATGCCTCTCGGTGCACAAGACGTGATATCAAGATGTTTATCCCTAAGCGGGGGAAGAGCCAATTGAAAACCAGCACAGGAAGGTGCTGAAGTTTTGAACACGGCAAAAGGCTGGCGTATTCAGTGCTCAATGTCTCAATGTTATTTTTGTGTGGACAGACACACTGATTAGGAACATTTGGTAAATTAGGATAAAACTTGTTATCTACTAAAAAGGAGACAGGCAATATGTCACATTGAACACTTTGACAAAATACTATCTTCAGGGAAAGGAATTTTCCCAAAACATTTAAATAAAATTTGCAAGGTTCATACCCATGCTTGAAGCACAAGATGAAAAGTCAGGAGTTCATGTCTGCACGAGTTTTAACTAAGAAAAGCCTTTAGACCTTTCTAAAAGCAACTTCGTTACTACATTCCACACAAAGAAAGGTACTATAAATCGAAATATACACTATATTTTAGAAAAGAGTAGGTTTTACTGGTGTGATCGTGGTGTCACACGGTTTTTACTCAATTAGGCGTGTCCCAGAAGCCACACGCCGACTGGCCTTGGGCTGTGGCTTCAGCTACTGTCTTTGGAGCACAGCACGAGACTAACTTTGAAACAAACGTTCTGGGGGTTCCTCTGCTTCACACGGCTCCCCACTGCGGCCCCCGACTGCTCCCTCCGCCCGCTCCGTCAGCGCAGGGCACCGGGCAGCTGGCAGGCCGGGCGTCCTGCGGCATCTCTCCTGGGAGCTGGGACTCCGTCATCCGCTCTCCCGGCTCCTCCCAGGCTGTGTACACAGCACTTGGCCCCTCGGGACCACTTTCCTGGGAGGGCCCTGTTCACGGGGCCAGCGCTCCAAGGGACCCTCAGTCTCCCTGCCCCAGAGCAGGCAGCTCCGTGGGCACCACTGTGGACCCGCCTCCCAGGCCGTAAAGCAGGCGACCTTCCGTGTGGATGGGGACGGTCAGAGTCCAGGTTCACATGGAAGGTCGGGCTCGCAGGCCGGTGAGCTGTAGCCACAGGAACAATGCGAACATTATGGCCGCCGCATGTGCCACACAGCTCCAGCCCCTTACACAGATGAAGTCATTTACCCTCCCCAGACCATAAAAGAGAGGCGGCACTCCGTGTGTGTGACAGTGGGAGACCCGAGGCACAGGAAGGGCCAGCGATTTACAGGTGGCCGCTCAGAGGACCTGCGATTTGAACATACAAACGGATACATTGCTAAAGCCCAGATTTTTCCTGCTACCGCGATGCTATTATCCTGCCGGAAACACTCTGTTTGATTATTTCAGAAATCCAAATCTTCTGAAACAGCCCTTCGCCGTGCCTTGCAAGAACCCCACGTCACTTCTGAAGTGACACAGCCTTGCTTCTGGGACAAGTATTCATTCTTATCACTGATTTGACATCACGACTTAGAGCTAATTTTGTTCTGTGCTCTAAGCTTTTGAGATCTATAAGAAAAAACAGATACTTTATTTGACATGAGTTACAAAGAATACCTGAGAACAGACAAACATCCAAAACATTGTCCTGAAAGTTTGTGTACAAACACTGCCAGCACTGGACAGCACTCCAGTGTGTTGCCCGAACCCAGCAGCCTGAACCCAACAGTGCTTCCCTGTGGCTCTTCCAGTCACACCCGGCTCACAGGCTGCGCCCTGCCCCGCTTCTCCCAAAAAGCAAGAACATAGACATACGGGGCTGAATTACTCGTCTGGTCTTCAGAGTCGTCTGAAAGAAGGAGTAGAGGCTTTGGGGTGAGCTCGCCTAACACGGGGCTGTTCAAGCAGAAGCAGGACCTCACCTTTCTGGGGTCTGATGATAAAAGACTGTGTGGCCCCGTTCACCAGCCGGCAGTACCCGTCTATCAAGTCCGCCATATTCTCAGCGATGGTTAGGGACGGCGCCGTCACCGTCAGAGGCTAAAAGGGGAGAAGACCAAGAAGAGGCGTTATTGTTCTCTGCAATCATCAAAGGGGCAGCTGCACTGTGACATCAGAGCTCTAGACACACGTGGAAACAGAAGAGTGACAGCGACACAGATTTGTCATAAGGTTGGCGTGAAAAAGGAAGTTTGATATTTAAGGACGTTATTCCTAGAATATGTGACAGAAGGCGGCCCAGACAAAAACAGAAAAATCACTTAAAACTGAGATTCATTTTCTAGAACTAAAGGAGGCCAAAAAAATATATATATTTCCCATGGAGTACATTTTTATCAATTATCCATCATCATTTTTCTAGCATTAAAGAAAATTACTAAAATCTCATTTTTTTAGCATGCACAGCATGTTTTGCCTAAGAGGCCAGAAATCACTGTTTTCACTATCAGACCTGCAGTTCTGATAAACTGTCTTAAGACTGATCACTAGCAATTACCTGGGAGATGATCAGAGCTGTTCCTTCCTGCCTGACACAGGGATGCCCTAGTCCGAGCAGTACCCACCCCCCCCCCCGGCCTCGGACACACCTGCCCGGCGCTCGGCTCCGTGTTCGGAGTTCTGGCCACGGTGGGGCAGAACAAGAACGTTACGGAGGTGCTGTCGGGACATTTCAGCTGGCAACAGTGTCCGTAGTTCAGGGTTTCATTTATTCACCTCGGAGGATCAAAAACGCACTTCCTAGAGCCTCAGAAATGTCCCAGCTCCCAAGGCAGAAAGAACAAGTGAGAGATAAACCCATCTGAGGAAAGGCTGCCGCCACCCAAAGACCACCGGTGGTGCGCGGCACATGAGAGGTCCGAACGCGTGCTGTGCCACCATCCCAGTCTTTCCGACTCCTCAACGCAGAAGCGTCCTATGCCTGTCGACCAGAGGGTCCCCTGATGCACAGTGGCCAGGTGACGCCCTATCTGGACCGGGCCACGCTGCCTGCGGATTAAACGCGCGGGCCCCAGGAGGCGCCCCATCTCCACCACTTGGGCAGGGCCTCCTTGGCTGTGCACTGGGGACAAACGATCTCAAAGAACTTCTTTTGCTGGTTCTGAGAATGACCCATGTCGCTCCTGGCTCCTGCGCTGAGCGTCAAAGCAGCGGGGGACCCAGCAGGCAGGAGCTGCTAGCCGGTGGCCCGGCCCGGCAGGCACAGCAGTCTGGGAACGTCGCCGCTGACCCAGGGTACCCGCGTGTTCACACAGTCCTAAGAGGCTGACGACCGTGGCAGTTCACAGGACTCTTCAACTGCCCTGACGACAGTGCGCCTGACTGACTCTCCCGTCTGTCACCTGCTCTACTCTGGGGGACATGCCCTCACTACCGAGACAGAGCAGGAGCACGTGCGAGGAGGCCGGGACTGCGAGCACGCGGAAGCCGTGTCCTTACCTCGGGTGCGCCGGCGATTTTCAGCTGCAGTGTCCCCTTCCTGTCCTTGTCTTCACTGTTCGAGTACTGAATGGTCTGCACTTGATTGAAGTCGGCCAGATGTGTGGGCTTGGGAGAGAAAAGGCAAACCTCTTGGGACCCCAGATAAGGACTGTCCGGTACTGTGTGACCCTCTTGCGGCGCCCACCCCGCCGCACTCTCCCGAGGGCCTCCTCCCGGTGACCGCGTCCATCAGCCCCGGCAGGGTATTTGCCTCCTTTGGAGCAGTCCCGGGACCGCCAGGAACCGTCTGCTCACTTCCAGTGAGGGACGGGCCTGCTGTCTGCTGCTAATGACCAAGCAGTAGCACTCCAGCTGTCAGAGCCGGCCGGGTGAGTCCCAGGCCCCAGGGGAGGAAAGAACGGAACCAAGTCCCGGACGTGACTCGCTCGCTGGCCTTGGGGGGAGCCGCGTGTGGGTCGTGTCCCCTTCCCACAGGGAGGGACCTGGGCGCACTCCCAGCGTACCCTGAACTAGAGCGCATCTCTGAGTGTAACAGCGCCACAGGGGTGGCAGGTGTCCAAAGGACCCTTCCCAGAAACGCATGCCAACAGAAACTTTGTTTCTCCAAAAAAAAAAAAAAATGCCCATTTGTCCCTTACCTTCACAGCAGCTCATGGCAACGGTTTGCTGTGATGATCCCACACATTTATTCACAGCAATTACCCTGATCACAGCCTCCTTCTCTCTCAGTGCCATGAGGCGGGGCCTCTCCCACCAAGTGCTCTACTCAGCCCAGATTCTGCCACTGGGACCGAGCTGGAACTACAGTTCAGAAAGTGGCTCACTGGGACACCTTGGTGGCTCAGTCATTTAAGCGTCTGCCTTCGGCTTGGGTCATGATCCCAGGGTCCTGGGACAGATCCCCGCATCATGCTCCCAGCCCGCAGGAAGCCTGCTTCTCCCTCTCCCACTCCCATGCTTGTGTTCCCTCTCTCGCTGTGTCTCTCCCTGTCAAATAAATGGATAAAATCTTAAAAAAAGAAGTGGCTCATAGGTGTGCCTGGGTGGCTCAGCTGGCGAAGCACCTGTCTTCAGCTCAGGTCACAATCCCAGGGTCCCAGGACTGAGCCCCATGTAGGGCTCCCTGCTTGGTGGGGGGTCTGCTTCTCCCTCTGTCCCTCCCCCTGGCTTGTGCACGCACTCTCTCTCTCTCTCAAATAAAAAATATCTTTAAAAGAGAGAGAGAGAAAGCTTCCGTTCACATCAGAACACCTTCACAGCTTTGCTTTCAGGCACAGGTGTGCTCTGTGAGGCCTTCGGACAGGAGGCCAGCGCAGGCCTCCAGTTTCCCATTCTAAGACATCCAAGCAGCAGGCAGCTCAGCCCCTGTGCCTACTCCCCTCTCTCCAACTCTGTGCCATCTGCCCGCGCGGGGTTCCCTCCTTCCCTGACCGTCCTCCACAGTTCCTTTGGCTTCTCCTCTACTCCATGGCTAAATCATCAAGGGCCACAGGACTCTGTGCTGGGCCCATCCTTCCGTGGCAGCCCAGCCCCGTGGTGCAAGTAGCATCCCCAGCCCCGAACCGGGACACATATCCAACCGCCGGGGTGACACCCCCACGTGGACATCGGGCCAGACTGCGAACAGCACAGTCACGGGATCGGCCCTCAACACCGGCTCCCTCTCTGGCCTCCCCAGCACAGCAACAAGCATCACCATTCAACCCTGTTCCTGAGCCAAGAGACTGTGGCATCCCCACCGGCTCCTTCCTTTCCTCCCCCACCCAGCCACTCCACACCCGGAGTCTGCGGTTTTCCTTCCACTTTCCCAGCTGTCACTCTGGTGCCATCGATCCTGCAGCTGTCACGCTGGATCCGTGCCTGGGCCCCTCACAGACCGCCCCTACCTGGAAGCCAGGGACGCGCCTCACAGTGTAAGTCCGGTCTGACAGCCCCTGCTTCAACAGGCACAACGCCAGCAAGAGGAGGCAAGTGCCCACCAGGCGTGCCCTCCGCCTGCCTCTCAGACCTAACTTCCCATCATGAGCTCGCCTTGATCAGACGCACTCTAGTCTTCCCAGGGCGCCATCATGCCCCCAGACGGCTGTTTCTGGTTGGCTGAGGAATGAGGGAGGCAGATGTGGACCATGGTCGTGAGACATGATATAACGCACAGAAAATCCCCTCACAACGAAAACTGCCCTGTATCTTGAAGAGCTTTCCAAGATCCTGGTGTGTATTCACGTTGGTGGGAAATCAGATTCTAGAACCCGAGTCTTCTTAAAAACACAACATATGCTCTGCACTCAACTTTCCAGGAGCACAACTTGGGTGTAATTTAGGTGTAATTAATGATTACACCTATCTCTGGAATGTTAGGATGAGTTGCTCACCATTTAGGAAAATTACATTACAGGGGGCAATGATTGTTTGGTATCCGAGCTGCTGACCCCATATGCACACACGTCTGTAACAGAGATGAGGCTCCTTCTAACCAGGAATCGACCGCTATTAGGCTGGTGAAGCCTGAAATGACAGAAGTCTCAACTAGTCTCGCTAAATGATTATGTCAAAATATTTTATTGTCATCTTATAATTAAAAATTTTTTTTTCCAAAGCACAGTGAGAAATTCATCAAGGAAATTATTATATTCCTTTTTTTTTTTAAACCTACAGTGTTTCTTCCTCACTCTGACACGCCCCCCGAGGCTGGTGACCTGGAAGCCCTTGTCACTTTCCGACACCACGTGTAAGGGAGGACCAGCAGTGGCCCCCTCAGATGAGCGTGCTCGGTACTCAGCTCTGCCCCTCCTCTAACGGCTGCCAGTCTCTGAGCTGAAACAGATGTTTTGGAATTATATGTTCACAGCATATTCTGTGATTTTATTTCAAGTTACCAAAAGGCTCTTAAAAAATATCTGTTATGGGGCACCTGGATGGCTCAGTGGTTAAGCCGCTGCCTTCGGCTCAGGTCATGATCTCAGGGTCCTGGGATCGAGCCCCACAACGGGCTCTCTGCTCGGTGGGGAGCCTGCTTCCTCCTCTCTCTCTGCCTGCCTCTCTGCCTACTTGTGAGCTCTCTCTCTCTCTCTGTCAAATAAATAGATTAAATCTTAAAAAAAAAATCTGTTATAGAGGTGTCTGGGTGATTCAGTCATTAAGCATCTGCGTTCAGCTCAGGTCATGATCCTTGGGGTCCTGGGATCAAGCCCATCGGGCTCTCCACTTGGCGGGAAGCCTGCTTCTCCCTCTCCCACTGCCCCTGCTTGTGTTCCCTCTCTCTCTGCGTCTGTCAAATAAATAAATAAAATCTTTTTTAAAAAATCTGTTACAAAGAAGACAAGGTTGGGAGGGAAGCACAGTGACCAGCCCTCTGAGCGGTACAGAAGACACTCCCCACCTGGCTGGGGCCCTCTCTCGCGATCATGGTATTTCTGCTGCCTGTGTTCGTTCTTCTATCGGCTCTCACAGACAGAATGACAGCGCCATGAGGGGAGCTCGTGGGGGACCCCCATCTCAGCCACCCCTTATCACCAGGAAGGAGGGCCGCGCCTGGGACGTGAGGGAATGAATGCGTGACTCTGAGAACTCTGAGGTGCAGGGCTCTGTTCTAAGTACCAGGAAGAGAGCAGAGAACCAGGGCCACACGAGCCCAGACATCAACAGTCATGCAGGAGGCATGGCATCGCGACTGTGGTAAGGACCACAGCAAAGCACCCGAGGGTACTGTCTAAAACTCACCCTGCTTTGTTTGGGGAGGGGCGGGAGGAAGTGATGAGGCCTCAGAGCAAGTCTCGCTGAGGAGGAGAGCGCGCCCGGGGCCCCAGGAAGCCAGGACCGCGCAGATTTCCCTCTGCCCTGGGCCCTAGCTGCCGGCTCACCACCCAGCACCAAGCAGCTGCATACACACGCGTGACCTGGCCAACACGACACCCCGGATGAGGCAAGCAAGTCATCCTGACGACCCGGAGAGAGGGCAAGTGTGTGCACAGGAGGCCGCAGAGCAGGGCCGTCTGGTCCAGCAGTGGGCAGCCGCGTACGGCCGCTGAGGCCAGTCCGCACTGAGCTGCGACGGAGCGCAGGACGCACACCACCTGCAAAGACTCACGGTGATAAGGGACATGAAAGACCTCCACAGCCTCTACACGGATGACGCCCTAAAAGGACGGTAACTGGGACGGACCGGGACCCATAAGCTACGTCACTGAAATTCATTTTTACCTTCCGAACTGGGGTGCTAGACCACTGAAAGTCCAAGACAGCTTGGGCCTGTACTGGGCCGTGCTGGCGAGGGGGGACCCGAAGTCAGGGGAAGTCGATAAGGACTTGGAAGTACCGAGGGGGGCTCCACTGGGCCCCCGGTGGAGGCTGGGCAGGCTCTGGGGCGCCGGCGGGGGCCGCAGAGAGCACGGGAGGAACCCAGGCGGCACACTCAGAGCAGCCGCGCTCACCAGGGGCTCAGCGGCCACGGGCCAAGGACGTTTGCAATAGAGCAAAGATAAATGTGTGGGCTGCCTGGCGGGGACAGGGAAAGGAATACAGGTTTGAGGGAGGACATTTTTAGGCTGAGAGAGATTACACATTTTTCTATGCTAACAGGAATGGCCAGTAGATTGGAAGCATTTCCTGGTGCAGCAAAGAGAGCAGAGACGGGGTCGCTCCGCAGACAGGAGCGGTCTTACCGGAAGCGTGACGCTCACCCCAGAAGGCCCGGCCCAGGAGGGTGGGTGCAGCAGGCAGAAATGCAGGCAGGACAGATTGTACAGGCACTTCCGGGGCTCTATCCTGATCACCCATCCCAGTTTCCGTCTACTTTACACAACCAGCAACTTTCACTTCAGAGGACAGAGATCCTCATAGTCTCCAAGAGAAAACGGACATTTTTTTCCCAAGGAGATTGATTAAAAACCACCAGGCACTTGGCCGTCAAGAAGGCAGGAACACATTCACTAGAATTAACATGTGAAAAACCTGCCTCTGCTCATGGGCCAGGAACGGGAGAAACGGTAACCGTGAGACCCAAACCCTCAGAGCGGCCTGAACTGTAACGTGCTCCTAGATAATGCTACGAGGAAAGAGAGGCTGTGCGGAAATACGACGGAAGGAGAACACACCCACCGACACTGACAAGACATGAAAGGCTGTTCGAGAAAATGGCCTCCAGAGTAACTGGGAATACACTGGAAAGAAACACCCAAAGGGAACAGCAGGAGGAAGGCTAAAGACAAGCGAACGAGATGGAAACAGGGTCTGCCAAGATCAATGCCGACACGAGGGAAAGGGATGGCAATGCCATGACCCTGATTTCCGTGCCTGCCCACTAAGAGCCGCTGCGAGAGCCAAATCCCCCAGACGCGCGGCGGCCCAAGACCAGGCGCAGGACTGAAGTCACCGGAGAGATGACGAGAGAACCCCGCGAGACACTGCTCCCTGGTAAAAACCTGAAAACGTGTAAGGCAGAGGACACGCTAACGGAACACGAGTTACGACAGGCGACAGGAAGTGGAACCCCAAACCGCCGTGCCGCTGTGGGAGGCATGGGAGCAGTGTGGGCATGATCTAATTCATTACTTAACTGTCCGACCAATCTATTAGGTGGCTGAAATGATTACGGCCATTTTACTACTGAGGAAACACGAGCCAGTGGCGGCGGGACGGAGCCCAAGTCACAAGGCCAGCATGAGAATGAGTCAAGGTGGAAACCGTGGCCACGTCCTCCAGAGCCGGCCTCCCTTGCCCACATTCAGGGCCCCATTATGACCTCACCAGAGGACTTGAGGTGGAATCCAGGGTGGGTTAAAGGCTCACGTGTAAAACGGACAGAGACAACCTTGCAAGAAAACCCAGGAGACCACAAATTGCACCTAAAGGCTGGGATGCTGACAATCTATAAGCAGTGAACGCACATAAGGCCATGGGCTGTCCCGGAGAGCTCACACCTTGCCACCAGCGCAGGGTGGCTCTGGCTGGGCCACCCTCTCGTCCACACTTGGCATTACAGCTCTCTCTCATTTCAGCCATCCTAGCAGACACGCAAGAGCGCCATGCTGTGCATCACCCCGGGGCTCCCAGGCGCAACACCTTCTCATCTACCTCCAGACGACATGGGTACCCTCTTGGGTCGTCTGCCCTTCACTTAGCGATTTTACTGCCAAGCTTCGCCTCGCTTAGAAGTCTACTGTCAAATGTATTCATGCAACTATCTGCCCTGCCTTTCTACTACCTTTCGATGAGAAGTTTTTAATTTCAACGTACTCTAATTTATCAGAATTGTCTTTTAGAGTTAGCTCTTTGTAAATGCTGCTTAAGGAATCTCTTCCTACTCCAAATTCACATACATATTTCCCTGTGTTTTCTTCTCTGACTTGTGTCACTTGTCTTCCACATGTCGGGTCAACCCTCCAGGTGGAATGGGCTGTCACAGTGTGTGACGAGGGTCAGAATGCCCTGCTTTTTCGCTGCAAACATCCGGTGGGCGCTGCGGCATGTACGAAGAGCTCATCGGTGATGCAGAACCCAGGACAGCGTCCCCTCTCCGGCGGGGGGCCAGAGACTGGGAAGGGGCGGGACTCATCCCCGTCTGTGCTCGGGTCCAGCGTGAGGACGGTCAGCGCACAGGCAGCCCCGAGACGTCCCCAAAGCAGACTTACGTTGCAGCCCTTGTCCGTGAGGTAACTGATGCCTTCTTCGGGGCCAATTGCCAATTCCACTGAGATAATCCAGCTTGACTTTTGAAGGGTGAAACAGGTGACAACAAAGTTCCCAGAAGAGAAAAGAAATATTTTAGATGAAAGCACGAACACGTTCAAGGAGCAAGGTGGGGGTGGAGGCGGGGGGCTGGCCTTCCCTCTACCTCGCCGAGCACGACAGAACACCTGTGACTTCAGTGACCCAGGGTCCGGTGGGTCTGAAGCCAACAGACTCTTTGGAAAGGCTCTCTGGATGGTTAAATCAGCTCAGAGAGAATAACATATCACTGAGCTAGAATAAAGAAATCTAATCATCAACACAGGCATGCTTCTAAAGCAAGGTGACTTCCTCCTCGCATTGATACATTTGCTTGTTTGCATTTTTCCCCACCGGAAAATGACGAATATTTTCACGTTAAATATGTGAGTCAGATTTCAATTAGAAATTCAGATGTCCATGGACAAGAGAAAGCAAAAGAAACGAAATCCAGGCCACCATTTCCCATGTCCCCATACTTACACCCAGAGCACACTTGAAGCATTCTTTATCAAATCTGTACACCGGGGAGAGGATCTCAAAGAATTTCAGAATACTTTCTTCTCTGTTAAGGTTGGCAAACTGTCTAAACGTCTGTTGGATCAGCTTCCGTAGCGTTTTGGCCTGCGCGATAAAATCACAAAAGTCATTTTAGAGTCAGCGACACACAGCAGCAACAGCAAATGCCCAAGACACCACCTCCCTCCCACCACTCGCTCCCACCTCTGTTCACATCACTGTGAAACGCCACATCCCTTTTTAAGCAGCTGTAATAAAATGCACACAGTGTTAAGATACAGCATCCTAACCCTTTTAAGTACATAGTTCAGTGATCCCAAGCATTACTTCTTTTTTAAATTTTTTTTTTTAAGATTGTATTTACTTATTTGACAGAGATCACAAGCAGGCAGAGAGGCAGGCAGAGAGAAGGAAGGGAAGCAGGCTCCCTGCTGAGCAGAGAGCCTGACGCAGGGCTCAATCCGAGGACCCTGAGACCATGACCTGAGCTGAAGGCAGAGGCTTAACCTACTGAGCCACCCAGGCGCCCCTCCAAGCATTACTTCTTAAACAGAAATGTATAAGGCAATAATTTGCTTATTAGAACATGCTGTAAAAGGTCAGGCATTAAAAAACACATACTATCTTTAAAAATTAAACATAAAAAATAAAATAAAAAACACGTCCTATCTATGCACATGATGGGGAGCTGGCAAAACCTACCTGGGAGGGTACTCACATACCCACTGTTAGGAGGTAAGCAGATACAATCTTATTGAAGGGCAATTTGGCAGCACAAATCAAAACACCTTAAAGAAAAACTACTTTGGATCCGGAAATTAAATTCCAAGACATTAGTCTTTAGAAATGATTGGAGAACCCCGCAAGGAATCAGCGACAAGGAGCTTCGGTGCAGAAGGATTTACAACAACGTCCGGGTTACACACATCATAATTTGCCTACGTTGTACGCGGCCCTCAAGATCGTCGTGCGGAAATAATTCACTGACATGAAAATCCCTATCACGGTGTCGAGTGAAACAGTCTGTACGTGCAGTACAGATGCCTTTAAAAGGAGCGCACCACTGATGGGGCTGACGCAGGTACGTGTGAGCTCAGGTGCATACGTATCCACACACAGAAAAGGAGACAGAACAACTACACCCTTTCTCCGTGTGGCGGGACGAGAGACCTTCCAGACCTCTGGTGCACGCCGGAGTGTTCTGCTTCTGCACCGCGAGCATCTGGGTGGTGGAGGGAAGGGCCCTCCAGGCAGCCCGGGGAGGGCAGCGGGCAGAGGCTGCACGACGCGGTCCGAGGAAGAGGGCTGGGGGAAGCCACAGCAAGCACCCGGCTTTCACCCCAGGAAGAGACAGGGTCCTTGGGTGCCTCGGGCAGCATCACGAGAGCGGACACACCGGCTGCCGCGCCGTGAACGGTGCGAAGGACACCGGGGAGACCGAGCAGGTGGCAGTGCAGTACTCGAGGTGAGGTGAGCAGAGTCTGTGCAGGTACAGAAGCACAAAGGGGTGAGAAGCAGTTTTATTCTGAAAAACAGAACCAACACGATGTCCTGAAAGGCGGGAATTCCCATGAACTGAAATGGTGAGCCCGTGGGGAACAGGCCGGCCGGTGAAGGTCCTGGCGGAGACCCGGGGCCCGGCTGGGAGTTCAGGCAGGAATCCGAGCCAGCGGCCGGGAGGAGGCTGGGGGTGGCAGGCGGAGGGGAGGTGAAGGGCCTCATCCCACCAAGCATGCTCATCGGAGCAGGTCGGGGGCTGTGGCTGCTCTGGCAGCTCGGAGGTGGCCCGCCAGGGAGCGGCACATGGAGGGGATAGCCCACTGCTGTGGCGTGAAGGCCACCGTGGGGTCAGGGATCACTGGATGTGGGGCACTGCAGAGAGTGAGCGGACAGCTGGGCGCTGTAGCCAAAGAGCAGGACGGAGAGCCGGCGGCCGGAAGTCAGGGGGATGAAGACCACAGGGCAAGCGTCCGGGGCAGGCAGAGGACCGGGTTCAAGAGCTGAGGGAGCAGGTGCGGCAACATGACCTATGGCACGTGACCTTCCATTCTAAAGGCTTGCGCTGCTCTTGCCCAGCGGGTGTGGAGGAGGCTATGAGAAGCAAAAAGACCAGCCACGTTCCTAGAATAGGCCACCCAAGAAACACCAGCGGCACAGACTCAGAGCTGATCGCAGAGGAGAGAGCTGGGGACCTTTGGGACACTCGGATGACTGTATGCGGATGGCAGGAAAACGGGCACCTGGGCAGGACGAGGGATGAGGTTTCTGGATGGAACGGAGGGCAAACAGAAGGGGCAAGCTTGGTGAAAATAGTCACACCAATTCTGGACGTGGGTGCGATCCTTACGTCTTTGGACCTGAACGCTCAGGCAGACAGGGGCACACAGCTCTGGAGCCCAGGAGAGGGCAGGGCCATAGCTGAAGGGGTCACAGACGGCTCCTCCAACCAAGCGGAGGCGGGAAAGAAGCGAGCGCCGCAGCCGGCCGGCAGGACAGTCGTTCTGCTGAGGACTAAGGACAGCTGTAGACCACGCGGTCAAGACTGAAGAGAAGGGAAATGGGCTCAAGGTCAGCAAGGCTTCGCGAGCAGACCTTCACACAGAAAATGAACCTTTAGCCTTGGAGGCTCAGAACAAAAAGTCTGGGAAACATATCTGGGGAATGCCCATCTAAGCACTGGCCCCGAGTTAAGGGGCTGAAGAGGCCACTCGTATCACAGGCTGGGGTGGCACGTAACAGCTGTTCTGACTCTGGGCTCTGCAAACATCCCCGTGCCTGGGAGGTCCAGCTGTCCGCCAGGAGCGCGCAGACCGGCCGTGGAGACCCGAGCAAGAGCACGACTCCAGCCTAACGACGCTGAAACAGACAACACGGAAGTAAAATCTGGTCTGTCCCTTAAGCGAGGGCTCGTCACTCACTAGCATGTCAGTGGGAAGACAGCTGACTGCTCTGAGTTCGATGGCCTGAGGCAGGACATAGTGCTGCTGAGTGCTCACGCGCCCACTGAAGGACAAAACCAGAGCAGAGAAAGCCCCGGAAGGCCCACAACTCTTCCTATAAGAGCAGGACACCATAGCCTAGAATATGGTAGCAGCTGCAAAGAACGGCTGCCCAAGGAGCATGGGGACCAGACACAGTGACAAATCACTTTTATTAATGTTGACAAAAAGTCGATGTGATCACTGGCACCTCTAAGATTGTTCACTCAGAGCAGATGAGTAATGATGCACAGCGACTAAACCCGGTGAAAGAGGTCCAGAAAAGAAGCCAGTTCTCTGCCTTGTAGCCGATTCCCAACCAGCCACCTGTTTAGAAACAACCGACAACACTCCACGCTTACACCTGCTCATCGTGCGATGTGTTCAGAATGTGTCACCCGGAAGAGGTTTCTCTCCCAAGTGGGAGAGACAGAGGTCTCTCCTTAAAGCCGAGCAGTTGAAGGCGTGTCCAGAGTGTCAGACATCCCCCCCAGCCGCCCACCTGAGGTTTCCATAGGACCTCCCACACATCCAAGAGCTGACGGGCCACGAAGAGAACCTGGGATCGCCCTCCAGGCTCAGCACCCCCATCTCGGCCGACCTCCCGGATGCTTAAGGTAGAAGCCAGGTAGCAGTCCCGACCCCCCTTTTCCCTAACCCCTCAACCCCGCTACACCCTCACGTGCTGTAAGCGCTTTCACAAGAAGCACATGATGTTCCCTAACGCTTTTCACCATGCTAGCCCCACTCTTGCGTGAACCTCTGTGACAGCCTCCTGGACTACCATCTACTTTCTGGACACACTGTGGCCAGGAGCTCTTTCTAAAACACGAGCTGGATTGCCTCACCCTGCAGCTCCAGCCCCTGGGAGCTCAGCAGACGGAATCATGTCGCTGGGCCAGAACTGTGCCTAAGCTACCTCGGGGCCACAGGGGCCAGGAGGAAGGGCGTGGTGGACAAGCAGGTCCAGCCCCAGAGAGGCGGCCAAGTCAGGGGCCGTGTCATCATGGAGCACTGCAGGAGGCTCAGGGAGGGCACGGCTGCTCTCTCATCTCCAGACGCCCTCCACTTCTGCAGCAGCCTCACAGAGAGACGTTCTACCCCCTGGCTTACAAATGATGAAACAGAGGCACAGAGATGACCGAGATCCCGAATCTCAGAGTTGCATGGCAGAGCCAGGATCGAAGCCCGAGCAGCCTGGTGCCAGGGTCTGCGGTCGTGATGATAACGTCGCTCCCCCTCCCAGGGGCCGTCAGCTGGGGGCTGAAGCTGGCCAAGTGACCGGGACTTCAGGGGTGCGGGCCCAAGGACAGGGCTCTGGGCGGGCCCTGCAGCCACCCCGGTATGTCAATGAGGCTTGGTTAGGGCAGGAGCCCAGCGGCATACACTGGGTGCCTAACAAGTATCTTCAAGGGATGGGCAGGTCAAGAACAAAGGAAGGACACTGTCCCATCCCATTGCCCGTCCTCTTCTGTGCAGCACCGAGAACTGCAGCCAGAAGTTCTGGTAGAAGAGAGACGGCGAGATTATGAGGGAGGGGCCAGGTGCGCTCATGAGCCTCACGGGGACTTGGTTCTTAGTACAGCAAAGCCAATGTCGGTGGTGCGCAGACCGCCTGTTTTCCAGTCTTTTTTTTTTTTTAACATTACAAAGCTGGTTATAATAAAAATAAACTCGCACGTGACATGTGAGTATGGACATGTGTGTCAAAATAAAACGTGGTACCTCCTAGTTCCCGTGGCTGCCCACTGTCTCGCTGATCCCGTGACACGACTGCGCCCCACCCTGCTTCCCCCGAGTGTCCCGTCCCTCCACCGGCGGCCAGCAGCAGCGGGACCACATGGGGCGCAGGGTGGCAACACAAGGCCAGGCCCTGCTGCTCCTCTCTCCTCCCATGTTAGGCTTCATGCCCTCGATGCTCTCTGTGCACAGGACTCTGACTTCCGACCTTTCCCACCCGCTCGCAAGGCTGTGTCCTGAGGATCAAGGAACACCAGAGTGCGTGACCAGCCCCCACTGCTGCTCCATCCCCTGCACTCAGCATTGGCGTGCTGGGAATTTCTGGGAATTTCAGAGTCGCCGGGACAGCACTGAAAGTGGCAACTACGAATGACTGTCAGCATGGAGGGTGTGAGGCAAACCCCACATGGGTTCCACGCCGCTGACCCTGTGGACACACGCCAGCCTCTGCAGGCTGCTCCTGCATGCCACCTGGGCACGCGGGTCCGGCCCTGTGCTAAGAAGCAGAAGTCTCAGGGAGGACAGCGGCCCCAGGATCCGCTCAGGACTCGTTTCCTGTGCTCACAAAAATGACCCTGGCTCCTAGCAACTACTACGGCCCCTGCTCAGAAGGGAGGACCCACACTTTTCCACAGCCTGGACTTCCACGTTGCCTAAACCTCCGGTGTCCAGAAAACCCTGCTGAGAGGAGCCCAGATCTGTTTTCCTGAGGAGGATCTTGAGGCCAGAACCGTTTCTTTCCTACTGTCTCAGCGAGGAAACGACTCCATAAGATCTAATGTCCTAGACTCTGCTGCCATGACTCAGTACACTTCCAGGACCTGCTGGAGCAAGCAAGACTGTTGCGTATCACTTTCTGTCCTGATTCATAGTTTCAGGTCTCACTTTGTGTTCGCCTGGATTTAGGACACAAGGTGTCTACCTGTGAAGGCTGTTCAATTTGAAATTGATCCTGCTACAGAGAAAACGACCCAGAAAGTGATGTTTCTTCAGAGTGGAACAGTGTTACTAGCTTGGTCATCAGAAATTGCTACTTAGCCACTGTGAACAACAAAGTAATCTTATATTAGTTGCCTAATACTTATCAGATGCTGCTCGCAACAGTGAACTTGTAGAGCTCCCCAGAAGTGAAGTTTATATAACATAATGTTAAAGAAAATTTGCAATAAAAGAATGGGAATACAATAATTAAATTCTTTCACCCACCCGCCTCCCCATGCTAAACACAGATGTATTAATAGTGCATGCAAAGTATGTTTTAACTGAGATCTGACACGTAACATTGTATCAGTTTCAGGTCCCTAACACAGCTATTCAGTATTTGCACACACTGTGAAATGAGCGCCCCAGCAAGTCTAGAGGCCATCCACCACCTCACATAGTTACCACTTCCATTTTCTGGTGACACAGCTTTTAAGACCCATTAAGCTATTTAAGAAGCCAAAGAGACTCTACATGTTTTACAAAATTACATGAGAAAGCAGGTGAGAAGTGAGTTCTGCTGCGCTTCGGTGAGAACCACTCGATGACTCTGTATCTAAACTCTGGTCTCCCGCTTGCCACAAACTCAGCAGCGCCTGAGCTTCTCAGAACGCCGCTGCTCTTTACTTGGTTCAGGGCAAGCTCGCTTGAGGTCCCCACGGTCGGCACCTCCCGTTTTGCTCCGGCGGAAGCCCCGGTGCCCAGGCCCAATCACCGCCCGTGCCCAGCCGCCCCAGCCCTGCCTGCTTCCAGCGTGTTCTCCGCGCTGCTGCCAGCTCAAGCTGACAGCCACACAGGGAGCAGGCCCGCGGCCCACTGTGAGAGCCGCCCTCACACCAGAGTCAGTGGCAGAGGCAGGACAGGGAGGACAATCATTGGGACAGATCCGAGGGACAGCCCACAAGGGGCTGGAGGGACGAGTCTGGTCAGGGAAGGGGGCCCGTGTGCGGCGAGGTGGGCGCGGAGCAGCAAGTGTGCGGGATCCTGGGAGCCGCTCTCCCGAGCAGGCCCTCCTTCTGCAGCGCCCCTCCTACACGGCTCCCCACTGACTCATCTTCCAGTCGCTCTGCAAGCTGTCCACTCGGTGATCTGAGTGAGGTGCACCGAACGTCACCGAGTGCCAGGCACCAGGTCAAACACGGTGCTCGCGGTGGAGAATGCAGCAGGCGTCATCGGGACCCTCGGGGACCTTAAAATATGGTGGAGGCAGGCAGACAAAATGCAGACAGGGAAGTAACTGTGAATCCGAATTTGAGAAAGTAAAGATTAATGCCCTGAGCAGAGTCCTGAGAATTGGACGGTGCTCCAGCTGTTCTGGGGTGCTGAGGAAACTGTGCGAGGGCGTGGGGGAGCCCAGGTCTGGGGGAGCCGGCCGTGGGGACAGGGTGCTGGGGGAGGCTCAGGCCCGTCCCCTCGCAGACCTTCCCGGGTGCTGCGGGTCACTTGGGCTACACCTGCACCAGCGTATCTGTGACCCCTGGGTGGGGCCTGGGGCCCCCGTTTTGAGTATGGGCATTCTTTTTCAATGTAGAGCAATCTGCCGGGGCTCCCAAGAGACTGCAGGAACTGAGGCCACCTTGGGCTCACACCTGAGAGCAGCTCAGGTCCCGACAGAACACAGCTGTTTTCACCTACTTTGCTGCTTTTTAATTTCACACTGGCTAGTGCACTTTTCTGTTTGGTGAAATGTCGATTTGCTAAAGAACGGTGTCTTCTACTTGTGTGGCTGCCTCCTCCCCACCCCGCCTGCCAGCACACTGCAGACTCGGGCCCAGGGGCATCCCTTCCACTCGAGGGCTGTCGGCCTAGGCCTTCTCGGCACCACAGCAGGAGGTCAAACGAGTCCCCTGTCCTCCCGGCCCACACCTAACAGCCCTCTGGAGGACACATCTTCCATTCGCACATAACTCCAAACATCCCAGATTTCTCCTCCAACCCCTCCCACCACACCACACTTCACTAACTTCACTTAAAGCTCTCTGTCCTCTGCCTCCCACGTGGGCCACCTCACTCCGGCCAATGGTCTGTGAACTTCCTGTCCCACCTACCACTGGGCCTGGCCTTGATCATCTGCTTGGAGGGCACTGCACGACCGGTTCCCCACCGGCTCACTGCAGCCTCCGGGGAGTGGATTAGGAAACGTGAATGGGAATGAAACAGCAGGAGCAACGCTGAAAACGGGGCCTGAAACATCACAGAAGAGCATACGTGTCCTCTGCTCTTCCTGACTATTCACATCTGCAGAGTAAAACACACACTTCCAGACCTGCTTCCCATTTTTAGATCGCTGAGAAGCTATCCGAGCAAAGCAGGCCCTTCCCACCTCCTCCGTGATACTCCAGCGAGCAGCATGCAGAGGCCTGCACACAGGCCCTTTGTCACAGACTGCGTTTGGTAAATTGTACCAACACTCGGACCCAGTAACGGGCAATGGGACACAGTGGACGACCCGTATGGAACCAGCAGCAGCAGCATGATGACCAAGAAACTCTTGCGGAGAAATGACTAATGCAGGTGCCCTGGGGGTGCAGACGGTGAAGCCTGTCTTTGGCTCAGGTCATGATTCCAGGGTCCTGGGATCGAACCCCAAGTTGGGCCGCCTGCTCAGAGGGACTCTGCTTGTCCCTCTCCCTCTGCCCCTCCCCCCACTTGTGCACTCTTTCTCTCTTGCAAATAAATAAATTCTTAAAAATAAATAAGTGATTAATGCAATAAAAACCGCTCGACTCGGCATTTCATCGTTGTAGGTAAGAAGTTCAATCCTCCTCCTCTTCACGCCACGTAACCTTACTGAGTTTGGTGTTCGTTGCTCTCAGACTTTGTATTTACAAATTCATTAATCCCTGTATGAAGCCCAAGTGTTAGAAAGTGGTTTCATCCCCACTTTACACGTGTGGAAACTAAAATACAGTAAAATTACGTAACTTGGCCAAAACGCCATGCAGTTCACGGTGATGAAGTCGGAATTTTCACCGAGGCAGCGTGGCCTCAGAGCAGGTCTTCCAGACCAACAGGCCGGCCGTCTTGCAACACTCACGCCGGCCCGCTCGAACGGCCTGCTGTGCGGCTGCTCCGGGACAGACCACCACCTCTGCGACCGAGTGCTAACAGCCACCATTCACATGTAAACCGCACTGGTACAGATGCTGTGGCAGGTGACATACATACACTGATCTGTCAAATCGTCACCCCAACCCTACAAAATACAGTTTTCTTCATTGTGGAAATAAGAAACGGGCCCAAGACCATGAGACTCATAAATGGCAAAGGTCCCATGAGCCAGACTCTATTCCGACCGAAGCCTACGCCCTCCCTCCACACTTGAACGTCTCACCGTGTGCTCTGGATTGGCGGGAAACCCTGCCTCAGGGCCCCAGGGCATCCCTCCCCTGCGGTTCCCTCTGAAGGGACGGAGATGACACGATGCTCTGCAGAAGTCACTCATGAGGGGAGAAGAGGGATCTTCACAGCGCACTTACATGTTCACATGCGTGCGCAGACACACACGGCTACCGTATGCTGCTTCCTCACCTATGTGTCTCAACATTCCCGAGACCATAAAGACGTAGGTGACAAAGCCTACTGTGTGTGCAGCTTTCTTAGTCTTGTACTTAGCTGAGTGTCACACATGACAGCAAGTGAAACCGTGACTTTGTAGGGCAGAGCTGTGTGTACGAAAGTCTACTTACTATTAACAGAGTGTAAGAACCACCAGCCTTTTTGCATTGTAACTTTTACACATAAGAGAGAAAACCATACACCACAGGGAAGTATTTACATAACGTGGCCATCTGAGTGCGATAAAGCAAATTCTAATTACCTTGACAGAATCCAGTAAACTCCTAGGAAAAAATCGCTTCAAACCAACATCTTTTCTGAAACATAAAAAGAAGCGTATTAACAAATAACACCACCAAATCAATTAATATAATGACATTGTTGCAAGAACACAAATGCAATTTAAATTATTCTCCTTCCACGTATTATTCAGGAAGGAAGTCAAATAAGGCTCCACTTTGCCAGCACAGTCAGGGAAGGGGCGGGACAGATCATCTTCTAGATATGAACAGAAAACATAAATACAAGTTGCTTTTAGTAGAACATCTTTTTCCTACTTAACCCTCACTGTTGAAAACCGTTCCACAGTTGGGCCTCTTGGCAGATGGCAATGTCTGCATAAACACTGCCTGAAACTTTGCCTTATCAACACCAGTTCAAACTTGGTGACATCATATTTGTGGACAAAGCAGACTGACCAGAGTAGGAAAAGGTGTGGGATAAACCATGGAAGCTTAAAAAAAGTTCCTTAAATTAATCCTAAAAGTTGACTATTTTCTTTAAGTAATCTTTTTTTGACTAAGGGATTCGTTCACCAAACCAAAGTTTATCATCTCAGTTTCACATAAGAAGCAAAAAAGCAAGAAGTTAGATTATTTGCCCAAAGTCAGAAAGCTGAGTGTGGGAAGGTTGGAAGTTCCAGTGATTTTCTTTAGATCAGGCTACAGGATTGAACCTTATGATCACGGGCCTCAAAACACTCTCGGCCAAGAAGACAGACCGGAAAGACCAGCTCCTTCCTTTTCTGCTCCCTTTGGTCCCGAGTGTGCCAGGATTTTTGGTCACTAGATGGCCCTCGTGTGCTAGTAAAATCGAACAAGACTACAGCCGTGAGGCAATGTGGGGAGACCCGCGGAGGACAGAACAGAATCAAGGAGGAGAAAACTAAACACAGGTATCTCTTCGGAATTACATAAGGTAACTGTAAGCTGAATAGAAAATATTTTTAAAAATACAAAAGGGATGACTTCCTTACCCATGAGTGTAAGTTAGCTGGCATTACAAACGAAACCACAGGTATCACACAGAGTTTGAACGGTTGATCCCACATCCAAACATTTCAACCACGTATTCTATAATCTATCAGTTGGTGCTCCCTAAATCCAAAATTGGTCCCGGTTCCCACTCTTTTTCATTGCTATTTTGTTCATGACACGCTTCTGAAATTCTTTTTCGACTTCCAGGACATACCGTTTCCTGGTTCTACTGGTTTCACTGGTTCTACCTACCAGTGAGTTCATACAACCCTGGTTTTCCATTTCTTTTTCTAACCACTTTGCTTTGTAACTTCCCTTCCTTTCCTTTCCAGACCAGCAGCATCTACTGGAGGAAGAAATGTCCCCCCAGGGCCTTCCCTTTCTGGCTGCCTCCTGGACAGGGACTTTGCCTTTAAGGGTTTGCCTTTAAGGTTGCCTTTAAGCCGCTATGGGAAGCAGCACAGTAAGGACGTAAAGAGAAAAAAGCCTAGGATTTTCAGGCATTGTTCCTGAGCACCGTCTCCCCTCCTTTCCTTCCTGGGCAACCGTTCCATACTGAAAGCATTTTCCATACAGAAAGCTCTGGGCTGGAGTCTTCGCGGGGCCGCAGGATGCATCTGGCTCCCAGTAAACACCTATGAAGCCGAGGTTTTCTCTTTGTAAACCGGGAACGCTAAATCCTGCCACAAGCCGCAGCGCGGGATGAAGCAAGAGTGTTAAGTCCCTACAACTCTTTCCTCCAGAAATACCGTAGGTGCCCCTCCTGTCTGGTGAGAGTCCGGTCCCCGTGACGGACACCCTGCTGTCTGAGCAGAGGGAGGCGAGACTGTTTTCCACCATGAGCAGAATATACGGCGGGGCTGGGGGGAGGATAAAACCAGAAGAGCAGGAGGGAGGAAGGCCGGCAGGTGCCCAGGGAAGCGGTGGTGGGAGGGCAGGCAGCAGAGGAAGCGAGAAAGGAAGAGATCAGACGTGTGCACACCAGGCCATGTGTGAGCGAGCGGACCCCGCGCACTGAGAGCGGAAGGCCGGGGGCGCGTTCTGTCTCGGGTGTGAGCGCAAGCCACGTGTACACGGCCTCCTGGCGGGGATTCCGAGGAGGCAGTGGGCCGCCAGTCTCTGGATGGGGGAGACCAGGGCAGGGGATGTTCTCTTCCCGACTGTGAGACCAGCGTCACCGTCAAACAGGTAATGCATCTACTCTTCTTAGAGCCAAGTGGAAAGCAAAGAATTTATCACACTCGTTTCTGTCACAAATGGGGAAATTACAGACGGACCCAAAGGGTTGTATGTTTCATGAAAAATGAGAGGGGGCACACTTCTTCGTGAAGATGAAGCCTCTTTCTAGGTGTTACTTTTATCTCCAAGATGAAGACAGCTCCACTTAGGAAAAAGAAAAAAAGAGCTAAGGTCAACAAACGCTACAGTTTCGCTTTTCCAATTATTTCTGAGCAATGGATTTGTAACATTTGTCTGTGTGTTAGACCTCTTTTAAACGTGACACCTGGGGCACCTGGGCGGCTCAGCCAAGTAAGCATCTGCCTTCCGTTCAGGTCATGATCTCAAGGTAAGGGTCCAGCCCCATCTAGGGCTCCCTGCTCAGTGGGGAGTCTGCTTCTCCCTCTCTCTCTGCCCCTCCCGCCTCCACTCGTGTTTTCTCTCGCTCGCTCTGTTCTCTCTCTCTAATAAGTTTTTAAAATATCTTTAAAAAATGTGACAGCTGCCAAGTGAGAAACTAAAAGCAAGGCTGAAGTACACAAAATAACAGAAAAATTCAAGAACACGTACCCGTTAATTAATCAGGAAGCCAATCTACTTTGGGTTTCGTGGTGGAGGACACTGAGGGTCCCCAAGCAGCACCTCAGGCGCCGCGCTCAGTTTTAGGGAGACAACCCAATTTACACCCTCTGCTAGGACACCCAGCAGGGACAGGCAGCCTGTCCCAGTGTGACAGTGCTACCGGGTGACGGTGTGTCCTCTGATGTGCACCAGAAGAGCTTTTAGCTTCCTGTGCCGTCCAACTCACCTGAGCCCAGACTCTGCACACAGGTGAGGTGAGTAAGACAGTGCGTACTACCTGGAGGCCTTCAGAACCACTGGCCTTTATTACAAGGTAACCCACTCTGTACAAACAATTGTCAAGGGGTAGATCCCAAGTTCCTGTAAATGCACTGGACAGGAAACTAGCTACGTGAAACTCTTAGAATACTGCCAACCCCAATTCCCAAACTCAAGCATTAGGCTGCTCGACTCCCATACGCACTCCGAGGAGACGTGCACACCCACGCACAACCAACAGGACGGGACCATCGGGTCAGAGCCGTGCTGTTCACTGCAGCGATCCTGGGAAGCCATACGTGCTTAAGGCAGCTACACTTGATCGGAGAATCTAGCTCCCTGTGGTGGTGGCCAAATGTCCGGGGCTCTGCGGCTGCAGAGAGGGGCGCAGCCGCCACGCGGGCCAGGGCAGAGAGGACGTCCCCGTCGCGGCGGCCGCTGCCCTGGGCGGCAGGCCCCCTGACTCTGCACGGCTCGGGGCCAGGCGCCGAGGGCCCCCCGGTGAGCACAGGGCTGAGCAGGACGGACGGACGCTGGGCTCGCTGCCCACCCGGCACACTGGGCACAGGACGACCACGCAGCATCCCCATCTCTGGGACAGAGCCCCGCAGTTGGGAGAAGGGCGGCCCGGGACCACATGGCAGCAGCAGGCAGCGGACCTTCCAGGACAGAGCTAGGAGTCACACCAGCAGCCTTCAGCTGGGACTGCCTGTCCCCAGGCAGCAGCGAGCTTCTGGGGACTACCCTTCCCGCTTTTCTCTCGGGTTGGCAGAAAGGGTTTCTATCCTTCGGTCTCTAAACTTCAAATTATTCTGAGGTGAAGCTTCGAAGAAAGCAAGGCTGCCCTTATCTGCCTCCTCACACCAGGCCCCACGCTGGGTGACGGGGCAGGACACTCCAAACACGCCCCCTTTCCTCAGGGGAGACACAGAGTCAACAACCACTCCCAGAGGTGTTGTCAGACAATGGGGCTCCGGAACCCACATGCCTGCTCGTTGAGACTCGGGGTTTCTGAAGCTTGAAATGATCGCTGTGATCAACGGTAACCAGAGTCCTCTTTTTTTTTTTTTTTTAAAGATTTTATTTATTTATTTGACAGAGATCACAAGTAGGCAGAGAGGCAGGCAGAGAGGAGGAAGCAGGCCCCCCACCGAGCAGAGAGCCTGATGTAGGGCTCGATCCCAGGACCCTGGGATCATGATCGCAGCTGAAGGCAGAGGCTTTAACCCACGGAGCCCCCCCAGGGGCCCCCCAGAGTCCTCTTAATTAACGTTTAATTTACCTCTGTCCTTCCCAGGAACTATCTGAACCACTGCTGACCAATGAGGACAGTGTTAAACTCCAAGTTCTGCCCCCCAGGCTCAAGGCTGACCCCGGCTCCCAGGCCTTGCCCCCACAGCCCGCTCCCCATGGACAGCCGTCCCGGTAAGAAGACATGCTCCCGCCCCCCGGCAGGCGGCACCGCTCGGCAGGCAGCACCGCTCGCCACCTGCAGCCTCTCCCCGACACCCAGGCTCTACCACACATAGGACGAACGTTCCACAGTGCCCTGGCTGCTGCCTGCAGACTCCCAGCCTGCAACCCTGCCCTGCACACGTGCACCCAAGTCCACAGACCCCAACACAGCGGGCTTGGGAGACTGGAGTGTGGAGGAAGCTTCACAGTAAGTCAATTCTCAAGTCAGAGATGAATTTATTTCCCCTTTGGCACCACTTCTGAGAAGACCCTGGCCTTGTCTGCTGGCTCTGGGTGACTAATACTCTGCGGACATAATTCCTCAAAGATTTAAAGCCCAGGCCAAAGACCAACCAAAACTGATGTTAAAACACAACTCAAATGTGCATTTTCATACAGCATCCCCATCTTACCCTTACCCCAAACCCTGAGTATCTTTAACATAAAAATACCACTGAGATATTTAGCCTCTAAAACGCCTTAAGCCTCTTAAAAACTGATAAATATGGAAGTTCTCTAACTGCAGTACAGACTGCTACGCATTTCTG